ATAAATGGTAAGATAAAACAAGCACCATTATTACACGCAGCTGCATCTGATAACTTGTAATTTATAACCATTTTATTACCATCAGCTGTGTTTAAAACCTGAGTAGTCTTGCTAAAATATTTTGTTGGGACTAATCCCTCATTAATACAATTTAAATGAGCTCCTAAATCAATAAGGGCCATTGTTTGGAAACTGAATTCTTTTGTTTACCACAATAGTGACAAGAGTATATCATCTGTGGGTTACTATTTTATCTACAAGATTTACATACTTCATTTCTTGCGTTTGTGTCTTAGAAAGAACATTTACGTCTTTTTGTTCTTCTGAGGGGTCTTCTTCCTTGAGAACTCCCTGACATTGTTCTGATTCCTTAGTAACAGTCCCATGTCCCTGGCTTTGTAAGTAATCATCCATTAGTTCTATGAATGATTTTGCATCTTCATTTTCTTCCCCCCTTTGGGAACGAGTGTTTGTTAACTCAAGTTTATTAACTCTGGTTTTTAGAGCTGCTAGTTCAGATCTTACTTTATTAATCTCTTGTCTAAGTTCTTGGACGGTAGGTTGCCTCTGACTGAGGTTTTTATCTTGTATTCTATGCATTATGGTTTTAAAACTGTCTTTTGAGAAGGCTTATTGAAATTTTTGATTTCCCTGGTTTGAGGGTTTTCTTTTGCCATAGTGATATATTGGTACAATGCTTCTTTTCTTGTGTGCTGATCTTCAAATTTGTCAATCAGTTATAAGATAAGATTTTCCTCTCTAGTAATAACACTTACACCTAACCCATGCATAGTTAGGATTGATTTATAATGGTCACATTTGCAATGATTGTTATTAATCTTCTCTTCTTCTGAATCAGAATCAGAGTCAGAATCAGAACTGGTCATTACTAAATGTTCATTTTCAATGGTTCCTATAAACAAATTCATTTTTCTCATCATCCGAGGGTTCTTCAGGGGAATTCTTCAGAGGAATTGTCTGTATTTTTTGAGGAAGATTTGACATAAATGCTTCTTTAAATCATCCTCTATATCTAGAGCATTAATTTGTTTCTTATTGTGGCATTTATTCTTTTAATGCCATACTTTTCCACAGTTAAAACATACTGGGGTTTTCTTTTTATTTCTTTTATAATATTTATACCTTTTATTCTCATTAAAAGGATTTTGTGTTTTCTTGCTAAAAGATTTTCTTTTCTTATAACTCTTCTCTTTCGCATGTAATTTCTTTTTAGGCCGGGAAGAAGATAAAGTATTATATCCAAATTTTTCGCAGAAATCTCCTAGCTCTTTTTTCCCAGTCATTTTCTTTTTCTAATTGTCTCTTCAATCTTAAATTTGTACACAAGGCTAAGCCTTTTGCACAAATTGCTGCTACTAACTCACCATAAGTGTACGCATAGTAGGGTATTGCTCCATTATGTTTGTTTTTAAGTCTGGTTTTTACCTTTTCAAAAAATAGGTGAGGGAGTCCTTCTATAAATTTTTCTTTCTAATAATCTGCCTTAGAGTCTTCTCTAGTTAAGAGCTTTGACGAAAATACATTCTTGTGCCACTTTAAATGTGACAGGGTTGGACACCTTAAATTTGTAAGTAATTCCTTGGATCTGTCCATCTTTAATGCGGTACTCCCTACAAATGTAGGGTGATAGTATAGATTAGGGTATTAACCGCATCCTCTTCTTTTATTGGGGCTTCCTGTTTAACGTCTGGGCTAGTTTAATACACAATATATGTTTTTGGCAACTATAATTTGGTTTTTATCGTTATCTTCTAAATAGAAGGCCACCAATTTCTTAATTGGCCTGTAAAACCACAGACTATGCTTTGGCAATGTCAGAGTCTTCATTATCATATGCTTCATCAGGTTGATTACCTGGTATTCAGACATTCCATCTATATTTCATTCCACAATAGATCTACTGTCATATTGGGCTACCTTATCTATCTAATCTTCTTAAATCTGAAGGTCGACTGGGGTTGGTCTGGTATAATACATCTTTGTAGGGGCCATTGGGATTGTCTTTCTCCCATAAGAAATCCTATTTATCCTGAAATCCTGTACTTCAATATTACTAAAAATTTGTTCTAACAGGTTTAATTCTTTTTCCGAATAACTATGGCCATTCTTCTGGAGAAGTATTAACTTGGCCTTAACCTTTTCCAGAAGTTGTTGGGTCCTTTGAAAGGTCCATCTTAGCTAACCTACTGACCAGCTCATCTATAAATTCATTGTTTTGTTTCTTGTTAGGATGCAGTTTAAAAGCGTATTCATACTCAAGGGAGGTTTGAAGGCTCTTTTCCCTTTTCCCTTGTAGTATTCTCCTTATTAAGGAGGATTTCAATCCTTGTTGTTTGTCTACCTAGGGATTGTAGATATTAGTGTAATTATTTTGTTCAATAAGATGGTTTATACTTTCAATATTAACAGGTGAGTCTAACCTTTTGGGTTCAATTTTATTAGGAGATGCTTTTACTCCGTTTACATCCACAGCAACCTCTAGTGGTGGATGTATAGATTGAATAACTTTCCCTTCTTTAGTTGTAAAAGTTTGAAAAACATTTTCAGCCATATTTATTTCCTTTTCTTTTATAGAACTGTCCGGAAGTGTAATTTTATACCTTTTGCATAACCACTCAAACCATTTAAAGAGTCGAACATTAAATTTATTTTTTAACATAAAATCATAATATTTTTCATGGAATTTTATCCTTAGTTTTTCATTAAATTCGTTCATAAACCAATCTCTTAATTCTTTATTCTGATCAAAGTAAAAGTCTCTTTTAAGACCCTTCCTTATCTATTATAAATTCTTTATCTTCCTGTATGGCATTCATTTGGAATTCTACATCTGAGAAGGTAGGTTCCATAGTTTCTTGATTTGTTCTATGGGATGAGCCTGGGGTATCAACCCTATAATAAGGCTGCCTTGCCTGTTCAGTGGGTTTTCTCAATCCTTCTAAGATTATTCTTTCATGATCCTTCTCATATTCTGTCCGAGGAATAGAAGAATATGAATTTCTGGCTGGTATCCTATGAGGGTTTCTAGCTATGTTTATTCTTGTTTTCCTAGAAGTTGAAAATTGAATTTCAACTTCTCCGTCCAAATATTCTATTATTTGTTCTACAGCTTTATTCTCTAGGGGTTAGGTTGAACCGCAGAGTGTAGGTACCACCATTCTGGTAATTTTATTTGATCCCAAGATACCATTTTAGGTATCGCTAGGTTTGATTTTCATTGTTTGTCTGAAAAAATACTGTCCGTCGCCTATTGTCTATTATTTTAACATCAGGACATAAAGTAGTCATTACTTTATAGCAGATTCTATAAACTATAGCCAGATTCTGTGATCCATGTTCCATGTCGAACCCTTCCGTTTGGAGGTTTAGGGTTAGTATTTTTAATATATTTTGATTGGAGAGGGCTACAAAAAAATTTGGATAGCAGCTAAAGTATATTGGTCCTTCACATCAACTGGATTCTGCAATTCCTAATAAGGAATCTGTGAATCTTTTATGTCTACTATCCCTAAGACATAATAGAACATAATTATTTAATCCTATCCTAGTAAGAGGTATTATGGCTACATGAATAAGGCCAATATGTAAACAGTTAAACTTTTTTCTTTTATGTTCTTCCAACATGGGTTTGGATAGCAAATGAAATTATCATGTGTTTCCATAACAGAAATTGTTTTTTCCACTGTTTTAATAGAATAATCACTTTTAAAATCAAAAGATCCTTTATTTTATATATATCATAATCTGGAACCTTTGGAATTTCGAGTTTTGAATATGTTTTTCTACATTATTTATTATTACTCCTTCACTATTATTAACTCTCAGTATATTATCTGTACTTGTTTTTCCTTGACAGGGCGTTAGAATATTAGCCATTAAGATAATAGGTTTGCTTTCGGATAACGTCTTGTAACAATCAACAGGAAATAGTCCCCTTCGATACCCTGACTCTTCTAGTCTTTGGGTTACGGGGTCACTGCGACTTTGGTTACTCTGGACTGTTTTATCCGTAGGCTTTTCTATTATCGTAATGGTTAATACAACAAAGGCTGTGATCCCAATACGGGAACAGACCAAGCAGCACAAATTCACATATAACAAATTTTAATACGAGAACAGACCAAGCAGCACAAATTCACATCTTACAAAGTCACATATAACAATGACAATGAACAAACCAAGCTGCACAAATTCACATATAACAATTTCATAACATGAAACAGACTTACAGAATACAACTTGAACAGGTAAGATGGAATCTTGGCACACCACCAGAACTCAACCTCGGAGCACACTTGCAAAACACTCACAGGACACTCACACTTTCACAGAACACTCAGAGCACACTTACAAATGACCCTTATACTCTAGACTCACTCCAAACAACCGATGATCAACCTTGCACCAAGGGCCTCTTTATATAGCCTCCTTGTCGGTGGACTTCAACATGATTTAAGTCCCAATTGTTGTCGGTGGACTTCAAAATAGTTTAAGTCAACTTTAAAGTGTAGAATTACAGATGCACCTCAAAAATCCATCGGAAAACGTTTTTTTGTTGAAAAACTCTCTAATTGATTATCTCAACATTGAGATGTTTGAATATGAAGATAAAAAGTTTTGAGTTCCATAAATACTGCATCTTGTAACACATTATCTAGACCGTCCATTTTCAAGATTTTCATATGTTTATATATCTATTTATTTTAACCATTTTTGGAGTTGAAAATTTTATAATTAGAGATAAAAATAGATTTTTAGATAATCCTAAGAATTTTTTACACCAAATTACATGTTATGCTAAAATGTGGAGGTACGCTTTAATTGGATTGTTTAAGGTTGTAACCTTATAGGAACCACACCCTATATATAGATATATATGTAGTTGTTTATAGATGTAGTTTTGGTATAATTGAAGTAGTTGAGAGGCCTTTGTGATTGTCAAGTATCCGAATAACTAATAATCTTTGTTTTCTGAGCAGGCATATGTTCAACAACTAGAAACTAGCCGGCTGAAATTGCAACAGCTTGAGCAGGAGCTTCAGCGTGCACGCCAGCAAGTATGATGATTCATTTAATCATTTTCTAATTTATGTGCTCTATTCTTTCATTTTAGGACAAAAGCTTTGTTTTCTTAGTTTACTTTTTATTAGAATTTGATGTACTGGATAGTCTGGATTTATTCCTTTATTATTTTGTTTTGTAGGGGATATTCATTTCTAGTGGAGATCAAAGTCATTCTATGAATGGAAATGGTAATGCTACTTCTTTGCCTTATCTGAAATTTATTGTAGATAAGATCATGTTGGGTGGTGGATAAATAAAATCTCAGCTATGACTACTTATAAAGAGATGTAAAGGTAGCTTGGTATAACAACTCAAAAAGTTTCCAATCTAGTTAAAATGGGTAGGACAAAGAGGATCATTTTTATTAGTGAAAGAGCTGATCAGTGCTCATCTAGTGAAAATTTCTGGTCAAGTTCACAATCATGTATAAATTTGAAAACACAAATAATGGCAGCATAGTCAATATGCGGGAAGAAGTTCACTATTTTTTCATGTTTTGATGGAAACTCCGAGTATTTGGTGATAATAATTCTGTCTATTCATAGTGGTCCATCATATAGTTCATTTTATATGTATGCATTCATCCATTATTGCATTGGATGGTTATGATTCGAATGGACTACGGCTGCCCACAATCCATTGACTATTGTAACACTTCCCATGAACGCATGAATACCATAGATAACATGTGGGATTTGGATTTTGGTATGTTTAGGGGCCCTGGCTTTTGACATGGAGTACTCTAGGTGGCTTGAAGAGCATAATCGACAAATTAATGAATTGAGGGCAGCTGTTAATTCTCATGCTGGAGATAATGAGCTCCGTATTTCAGTAGATGCTGTAATGGCTCACTATGATGATATATTTAGGCTCAAAGGCACTGCTGCAAAGGCTGATGTTTTTCACATGCTTTCTGGAATGTGGAAGACACCTGCAGAGCGCTGCTTCTTGTGGCTTGGTGGGTTTCGTTCTTCCGAACTCCTCAAGGTATGTTGGGGTCTAGATTTTTTTAGTGTAGCTTCCTTTCTTTTCCTTTTGAGTTCTGAGTAAGGTGTCTTATTCATACATAAATATGCAATTTGATGAAATTGAAAAAAGTTTTAAGGGGACAACCATGTTGGAAACCCTCATTTTTTGTTTAATGCATAATTATTCAATTTTATATAATTTCAAGAAAAGGTTAGGAAGAGAGGTAGAAAGAAATAAGTGAAATGGGTAAACTTAAAGTGGATTTCTGGAAATTAAGTCTCGACTCTTGAATGATCCGTCTTTTGTATTTGAAAATGTTCACACAAGGTTGCAACCTTAAAATGTAGAATTAAGGTACACTTCAAAAATCCATCGGAAATGGCTGTTTTGATGTTGGAACTAATTATGTCTTATGATAAAATTGGGAGGTGCCTTGCTTTGATTGTTTAAGGTTGCGACCTTATGCAAACCACACCTATTTCCATGTTGCTCTTAGCAAAATCAAATTACTTAATGAGAAAAGGGTTTTTGACTCTTTTATAGCTGTGCTGATTTAGTAGTGAACATTTTTAATTTTTGACTCTTTTATAGCTGTGCTCATTTAGTATTGAACTTTTTTAATGTGCTTCTTTTACCTTTGGGGATCTCTCCTCTTAAACCCTCCACACACCGCCCCACCCCAAACCGTGCACCCAAAAAAAAGACAAAAAAAAGGAAGAAAAAACACCCCACCCCCAAATAAACTCTCTGATGTCTAATTGATAAAAAGACGATTTGAGAGGATGACCTGATATGTTTATGTTTTCTATTTTTTATGATTTTTTTTTTATGGAGTACAGATACTTGTGCCACATTTGGAGCCACTAACAGAGCAGCAGTTGATGGGTATATGCAACCTGCAACAATCGTCTCAACAAGCAGAAGAGGCGCTCTCACAGGGCATGGAAGCCCTGCAACAGGCGTTGGCTGAGACCCTGGCCACGGGTTCTCTAGGACCATCTGGGCCATCAGGGAATGTGGCCAATTACATGGGTCAAATGGCTGTGGCCATGGGGAAACTTGGGACTCTTGAGAATTTCCTGCGCCAGGTATTTGTGCATCTTGACTTCCTTTTTCTGCTGTTCTTTTGTTTTAACCTGTTTGAGGAAAGTAGATTTTATGGCCAACAAAATATCTGAGAATAAGGTGGCAATGGGTGGTTTGGAGCGGGGCGGTGCGGTGCAGCCGGCTGGCCCTAAAAAATTAGGGCCTGGACGGGCCGGCCTTCCTTTTCTCTAACTTCACTTTTATATTCTTTAAATTATATGTAGCTCGGCCTGGCCCTGGGCTGGCCTTTACAGGGTCGGGCCTGGGCAGGTTTGCCCCAGCCCGTTGTAAGATCTGAGAGAGAGAGAGGTTCCTTATGTTGCATCTTCTGAGTTCTTGATTCATGTTTGTTACCATTTGATTTTTGAGATTCCTTATGTTGCATCTTCTGAGTTCCTGATTCATGTTTGTTTTACCATTTAATTTTTGCTGTATATTGCTGCATTTTGAAGGTATGCATTTGTGTTGTTGACATTTCATTACTTTCTCAACTGATCTTTTATCTTTATTGTTGGGTTTGAAGGCTGACAATCTCCGGCAACAAACTCTCCAACAATTGCATCGCATCCTCACAACTCGTCAATCTGCACGTGCCCTCCTGGCTATTAATGATTATTTTTCTCGTCTGAGGGCCCTCAGCTCCTTGTGGCTTGCTCGTCCTCGAGATTGACCCCCAAAATCCCCATTGGTGCTTGCTGGTTTCATGAGAGAGAGAGAGAGAGAGAGAGAGAGAGAGCATGGGCATGGGCCTGCCCATTGGTGTCCAAAGGCAATAGGGAAAGGTTTTCTACTTCCCACCTTTGAATTCCCGTTTGTATTTGCCGATGAGAGCGAGAGGGGGGCACAAGCGTGTGTATTTGTTGTTGATAGCAAAGGGCTTATCGCAGCTTTCTCGGTCGTAGTTTCCACTCAAGGCGGGAAAGCTTTGGTGCAAGTAGTGATCCCTCACTGAGGGTGAAAATGTGCCTTTCTGCAACGCCGTGTTTTGGCCTGATATGGACTCCCTGTATGTGTGCGTATATGGAGAGCAAATGTTAAATGTTATTGGGCTGTACTAAATCTTCTCAGTTGTGAAAATGGGAATCAGAAGGGGCAAAAGGAATAGTGGTTATAAATCCTTGTAGATTATGAAAGTTGTAGACTTTTAATTATATTCACTGAATATAGGTTGGAAGTTAAGAGATTTGGCCTTTTAAAAGTAGTAATGTGCACCTGTGAAGTTGTGCATAGGTTTAGCAACAGAAAATTGGACTACTTTTTGTTGGCAGTCATTGAATTCCTGAAAAGGAACTAATGAGGGTCTTTCCAAATGTGGTTCCTTTCCTAGAATCCAGTTTGAAGGTGGATTGGAATTTGAAATGTATTCTGAGACCCTTTGGATGCATTTTTGCTTCGGTTTTGTGATTTTGCAAGTCTAAAAATGGTGAACATTTTGAAGTACTGGGAAGATTCAAAATAAACATTGACCGGTGATACAAAAAGACAGTTTAAAACAATCTGTTTTTAAGAATTGAAATCTCTCGCTCTCTCTCAAGAGTCATGATTCTGGTAAAGATTGTTGGGTTAGCTTTTAGATGGGTTGTTGGGAAAGGTTGCATTTGAATGGATGCATTGTCAATGCATTGTCGAGTAAAGGACTCTTTCTTAATGATGTGTAGCCAATTTTTTTTTTTTTAGGGATTGTATATATGGATACCATTATCTTTTTATACAAGGTGGTCACAATTTTTTACACAAGGTGGTCACAATTTTTTACAACCACTTGTGAAAATTTGATAGTTTGGATGTAGATTGAGTTCGAAATTTTTTTTTGGAAAAATTACAAAAAATCCCAAGATGTCACTCTCTATGCGGCTCACCGATCTTAATTTTTTTCTTTTCACTTTATTATCTGAAGTACTCTTTTTAGAAAATACTCCATCCAAATAAAAAATAAAAAAATATCTAAATTATCTTCATTTACTTTTTATCTTACTCGTGTCTTTTTTTTCTCTATCCCACCAAAATAGCGGTCTGGCATTGTGTAAGTGTGGTTTGGCAGTAGGGTTCCGGCACTAAATAAAGTGCGATCCGGCAATAAGGTTTCGGCATTAAGTAAAGTGCGATCCGGCAGTAGGGTTTCGGCAATGTGTAAAATGCGGTTTGGCCGGCACTGTGTAAAGTGCGTTTCGGTAATGTGCTACTGCGGTCCAAACATCAACTCTAGCAAAACGATTTTTGTGTACGGGAAAGACATTTCCATCTAAAAAATGAATTTTTGCCCTTGGGGTATTTGCATGGAAAGTTTGTTTTGGAGAAAAAAGTGAGAAAAAATGTTAAGTTGGCGGTAACTTGCATAGAAAGTGTGGTCATGGTTTTTTTTTTTTGGTAATTTTTCCAAATTTCTTTTGAATTTTGAGCTTGGTCAATAGAATAATTGCAGCCACCCAATGTTACATCTAATTGTCAAGATTAATGTTACCGCCTTGTATCAAAGGTAAATGGTCTCATTTTATATATATATATTTTTTTCTTTTTTTTTAAGAGTGGAGATAAATTTTTTGATGCAAATGAGTGATGTATGGTATTTTACTATTGGAAGAGTTTTTACACGAGTTTTGTCTAGGAGTCCACATGGCCAATTATTGTAGAGAAATTTCTATTTGGAAAGTTGCACGGGCGGTAGCATCACTGAGCTTTATGATGAAGTTTTAGACTCCATCCTCATCAAATGGGACATGCTCAAATCCACACTGAATTTAACCTTTTAGGAAAGGGGTTGGGGTCGTGGTGGGGGCATCCTTATGCCTAGTCACCACTTGGTAGTTTCTATTCCTACAACTAGCACTGCCCCACTAATATTTTCAAAAATCTAACTCCTAATCTACTTAAAGAAATAGGTACGGATCTGTCTTTCTTACTGAATTACCAAAAGAAAAATAAAAAAAGATTGAACCTTGAAGAAAAAGGTGGTGGACTTTCAAACTCTATAATATGATATGAAAATAAGGTCACCCACTTAAAATTTGCTTAACATTATCATTGCGAGGTTGGAGAAGGTATTTAAATCTTGTGACGAGAAAAATTGCAATATTGATTTCAAATTTCATTATCACGATATACACATCGTAAACCTATGCGCGTTATATGTATAAACTAGTGTAACATGAATATAAGTATCTATGATTTTTGTGCTACGGTATAGTAAAAACATGATATTTTGTTTGGAACTTTAGAAATTTAGATATTACTTTTTACCTTTTTTTTCATAATACTCAATGTCACTTGTGCTTTTTTTTTAATTTTATTTAGACTTATCTTGTCTAAAAGGCCAATATTGAAATTAACATCTTTAACACTGTATTTGCATTTGAAACTATAACAAAAGCATGGAAAATATGCGTTATGTACGGAGTACCATACCATACCATAGGCATATGTTGGAATCCTCAAATATTGTGAAAGTATTGAGTCTAAGAGGAAAAGCTTATTTTGACCTTTTCCTATAGTGATCAAGAGAGTCAATGTCAATGAACTCCAAATTCTTTGAGCCGTGAAATTAGGTCATTTATATATATATATATAAAGAGAGAGAGGAGAAGATACTACGAAATGCATATAGGTGAAATTGAACAGTGATTTCGTCTATCTTCATCACCATTCAAACTTCATCATACTATCACAGTTGTCCGGTAGTGTTTTAAATTTTTTCTAATAATCGAAATGATCTGAAATTTGGAGCATGTGTACATTTTAGTGAGGCGCACCTAATAAAAATATGAAAAAATAATCCACAAAATATAAATTGATCAAAATACCTCCCATAGAGTTTCAAGGGTATTTTGATCAATTTATATTGTACAAATTATTATTTTTATATTTTTATTAGGTGTGCCTCACTAAGATGTACACACGCTCCAAATTTCAAGTAATTTGGATTTGTAGAAAGCAAATGAAAATTGAAACACTACCGGACAACTGTGACCGTGCGATGAAGTTTAGATAGTGATTAGGGTAGACGAAATCACCGGTAATTTTACCTATAGACGTTGGGAAGAGTTTTTCATATATATATATATATATATAGTGAGTGAAAGAGAGAGGGATATTAAAATAAGATTCTCTTGAGAATTTGCAATTCTTGTATTTGACAAGTTCTTGGAGGTGGGGAGAGAGAGATTCAAACCAAGTTTTTAGGAAATTTCAATTCTCGTATTTGACAAGTTCTTGGACATATGTTCTTCTAGAAGCTGGGGCTTTTTTGAAAATTTTTGTCTTTTTTTGGGATTGTTACACATCTATGAGTCCACATCTATAAATGCAGGCATCTTAATAAATTATTTTTAAATAGAATTTGATTCTAATTTTTAAGAATATATAATTTTTAATAAGGAGATTATTAATATGTATAAGTAAATAAATTTCAAAACTAAAAATGATATTTTTTAGAGGAAATATTTGAACTATTGATTTTAGTTTTTCTTTGAAGTACTATTATTTACGGAACCTAATTTTGATGGACGGTCTCGCATAGTAACAGGTGCGGGCTTGAACGCACCAAACAATTTCCTTATCCGTATTACATTGGTCAAAGTGATGTGCATAATCGAGTGAATTTATACAAAAATGAATTTTTTTTGTGGACTTTAAAGGCTTGAAAAGCTATTTTTGACTTTTGATACCTCTTCCAATAAAACTGTCAACCTCAGCATTAGCTTTTTTATTCATGCCTGAACTTTCCATTATTTTTTCTCTCTAAATTTGTCTTAATTTTATTTGATACTTTTCTAATTCATCATAGGTTTAAGGGAGGCAATGAACACGAGACCTAAGGGGTAGACCCGATCTAGGCCTGAATATGGGTTTAAAAATTGGATTCAATAGGTTAGATTTGGGTCAAAATTTTATACCTGAATACTATTCGGGTCTAGATCCAAACCTGGATCCGATGATATATTTTGGATTTCAATATATTAAATATATTTTAATATAATTAAATACATAAATATTTTAATTTTTGAATAGGGTCCGGGTCCAGGTCCGGGTCCCAGTTTTGAGATGCACTTTCGTATACGTTTTATCTTCCTTCTTTGGACCCTCATAAACCTATATTTCAAAGTCCACCTTCTACTCTCCTTCTTGGAATGAATAAAGAAAGCCCAATTTGTTATATGCTCCCGCGGGAGTTTATATTTGTCTACTAAGATCCGATTTAGAGCATTTATGGGGTCTTAAATTCAGGGACCTAGTCTTCTCAATCAACCTCAAATAATAAAAGGGGAAATAGATCAAAACACAATTAAGATATGAATTATTTAATATTTTATTTATATTATATTATTTCATTTTTAAAAGCTTGTCAAAATACACATGCTTGGGCCAATTGAAAACGGTTAAAGTATTAACTAGTTGATATGTTAGATGTATTTTGATAAAGAAGAAGTCTATATAAGGTGTCGACCTCAATCCCACCAGAAAAATATTGTTTAGATGTTAGAAACCGTCCAATTACTTATCTCAACCTCAAAATGTAAGAATATCAATAGATTTCAATTTTTAAAAAGAGTACATCATAAACATCCATTCCCAAGATTGTCAAGCTTCAGATCAATTCAATATTTTAAGTTTTATAACGACCGTATGAAAAACTGAAAATTGATTTTCAAGCCATTGTAGAGATTTTCTAACATTAAACTACATCTTCTTATAAAGTGGGAGGAGCACCTTACTTTGATAGTTCAGAATTGATATCTCATAGAAACTGTATGATCAGATAAATTTTTCAAAAAAATATTCAGACATGTCTAAGATTAACTAGTCTAGTGTCCATTTCTTAGATAGTTCAATCTAAGTAACTTAAAGTTTTTTACAAGTCTTGTGATTCGACGGTAAACTCCAAAATGCTCCTCTGCCAGATGGAGCAAATGTATATTATGACCCTGCGGGATCACTATATTAGCCATCAAAAGAAAGTTAACCCTTTCTCTCTCCCAAACGGAAAGCGAGCTTTCCGTTATCTGTCAAACTGGCGACCACATTCATCTTTTAAACCGGCACTGATTCCCTTCCACGTCATGCTGGCTTAAAAAAATGGGTAAACGGTCAGAATGGCAGCCTGTCTAATTCTTCACCTTTAGATGGAAGCCACGTGTCCGAGCTTTTGTCTCCACCGTCCAAACTTTTCTATATAATGACCAAGCCGTTGAAGGCTGCCACCCTCCTCTCCCTCCACTCTCTCTCTCTTCTTTCTCTCTCTCTTCTGCAATGGACAATCGAAAAGAGGTATTTATTTAATTTAATATTTTTTGTTGACAATATTCAACATTTATTTTTTGTATTTTCTTCTTATTTTAGATTGTTATGAAATTTGTGTGGTCTAAATTATTCGATGTGAATTGATGCAAGGCTTGTGAGAGAAAATGTTGTATATTGTAGAGATTAATGGAGGATTTAGCATTCAAAAAATAAAGAAGAGATTTGTGGGGGATTTCTATTTTGTGAGTGATAGAGAATTGGTTTTGTCTTTGGGGGGATTTCTTCAATGTGATTGAGAGATAATTGGGTTGGCAAAATTACATCTTGATATGCACTATTAATTTGGGTTTGTATTTTGATCGTTTGTTTCCCTTGAATTGTCATGAGAAAGTAATTTGGGTTTGCATGGATCTAAGTTATAAAGACCCGAGCAGCATTGGACGTCGTTGAGAAGCTGTAACTCTGAAATTGATCTTATAGACACGACATGTCTGTTGCTAAAGGATGAGATAAAGTTTTAAGGTGTCTTATGCTGAAAATTCATCAAGACATTAATGGGCATTCACAAATGGGAGGCTAGATATTTTGTTTTTGAATTTTGTTTCTTGAGCTTATAGAGAAAGCAAGGGTATAATAGTCATCTTCCTTTTTAATGGTGATGGAGGCAGGCTTGTGATTTCATAGGACTTTTTCATTTGTGATATAAGTTGAAGTCTTCTCTTGTGTTGCTTATGTCTTTTACTTTTCAGTCCCCTGGCCTCTCAATGGAGGCATGTAGCTGAAATATATCTATGTGCTCAAGGGTACAATAGTCATTAGGAAAGCTTTAGGTTGATGTTGCAGCTGGTTTTGAAAATCCCCAATAAAACAAGAAAATTTAGTTTTTGGGTCGGAAGAAATTTATATAGAGCTAAGGCTCTAAACCATCAAATTAGAGCCCACCGCAAAAATTTCACTATAAGAGGTTGTTTTGATGCCCAAATACTCTCAAATTGATCATCTCGACATCAAGATGCATGGACATGAGAGAAAAATGGATTTCAAGTTTTAAAAATAATGCATATTGTACTATATTTTTGGACTGTCAATTTTCAAAATTTTCATGTTTTCATAGATGTGTTTGATCTATATTATTTTTGAAACTTTAAATTTTATAATTAAATATAAAAATATATTTTAAAGCTATTGCACACAAAATATGTAGGATTTTTCATTTATGGACGTGATGTAGAAGATTACTATTAGGCCCCTAATCCAAGGTAGGAATTATTTATATATAATTAAAAAAGACTATTATGCCCTTAACTAATGGCCATGGGAAAAATGACCATTATGCCTTTAACTAATGCCAATGGGACAAATGACTTAGCAATCCCCATTGTTAGAGGTGCTCATGTCTGGATACTATAACTAGCCCCAGATCTCTCGTACCCTCTTTCTTTCACCCCTCTCTCTCTCTCTAATTTTTATACCTCTGTTTTTTTTTCTTCAGAAAGATGGGTGGATGTCAGTTCCACAATTTGGGGGGTGGGAGCACAAGGCAGGTGGTGCAGTCGATTACTCGATGGTATTCACGAGAGCGAGAGAGAATCGGAAGCAGATTAAGACCGACGTCAACCGGGCCAGCATAGGCAACGAGGAGGAGCTCATGACGCATCACCGCCACGACGGCTCGCCAATGGTAAGGGACATAACAATCATTTTTTCTTCCTTAGCAATGATTTAGGGAACAATAGCCAGCTCTCTTTAAAAATGAGTTGGGGGCAAAATCGTCATTCTCTATAGCAACTTAGTAGTTTCACCTCTGCAATGTGTTAGGGGCACAGTAGTCATTTTTTTCCTTAGCAATGCATAAGGGGCATAATGGTAATTTCTGCGTTGCCACCCGTTAAGGGCATAGTAGTCATTTTGTACATTATGAAAAAGAAATACAATATTCAGAGTAATCGAAGGGTAGGATAGTAATTTGAATAAGGGATCATATGAAATGATCGAGTCGTATCAACCGTCCCTTGTCAACAATGAATGGATGGATATGATGACCGTTCCTCCGTTGGCATACATTTTGGGGAGGAACGGTCATTGGAACACTTGATGCTATGTGCATTTACTGTTTGTAAACTGCAATGCATCACATATGTTTTACCTTTTTTATTTTCCTTAAAAAAAGCTGACAACATTATCATTTTTTTTATTACTTTTTGTTTCAATTTGATAAATTTATATATTTTTCACTCATTGTTGTTGCTTCGAGATTTATACATATGAAAGGTGTTTTATATATGCAAAATGATCCTACAGGAGCAAGGATCATGGATAAATGAGTGCATACTTTTATAGGCACACATAAAAGATATAACGTTCATGTTTGACATTTTCGAAACTTAAATATTTATTAAAAAACAAAACCTAATATCACTATAAAAGCATTTGAGGGCATCTAAAATCATTTCGTGTTTGAAAATTCAAAATTGAAATTAACATCTTGAAGGCTTATATTCCTGTCACACATATAGGTATTTCATTGTATTTAGTCATATTACAAGGTGATAGTATTGCAAGGCAATATTTGCACTATCATTTAAGTTTTCTACAACTTAAAAATTTCCCCACTGTCAAATGCAAACAACGGATGGCTGGGATTTATTGTACTCTTTAACCTCAAAGCTCAACAAAAAATTGACAAATTTTGAATGGCAAGGGACTTGTGTGAGAGAGAGAGCACCATGTTGGGCACGTGGCCGTTGGTAAGGGGAAATAATTGTGTGCTAATTAAATTGGTTTTTTTATTGGGTGAATAGAAGTTTTGGATTTTTTAAAATAAATGTGTTTCCATTTAGTTTATGTGCGTCACATGGGCTATTATTATGAGCTTTTATTATTATTATTATTATTATTATTATTATTTTTAACTATCATTGGGTATCATTAAACATTGGTTTAAACAAAGAAAATTGTTTCATGCGGGGTGGACCGCATATTTTAAGATATACGTTCCCAAGATATAAAACATCCAACCACCAGCCTCATTTAGAGTGGGTATGTCTAAGTAGAAGTCTCCCAAAGGGAAAAATTATATACAAGGCACAAGTCTTATACTATAGAAGTAAGGTACATCTAAAAAACTTGTTGCAAAAAGTTGTTTTAATGCTAAAAAACCTTCCATTTGATCATCTAGACCATCTCGACCACAAGATGTGTGGATATTCAATATTTAAAAAAAAGAAAAAGAATTTCAAGTGGAAATGACGCATCTTATTTAAATATTATCTGGACGGTCAATTTTCATGATTTTTAAATGTTTATAGATCTTTTCGTTTTGAATGATTTTTAAAACTTTAAATTTTATAATTAAGAATAAATATAAATTTTTATACCATCGCAAGACTTTCTGGCACTGAAGCGTATCTTCAATACAATTTAGAAGTACACCTTGCTTTGAATTGTTTAAGGTTGAGGCCCCATACAAATCTCACCATTCCTAAAATACTGAGGTTTATCATTTGTCTAAGTTGGGAGTACTTTCTTTATTATTCTTGGACCTTTAATATTGATAATTTTCATGGGGCTGCTGTTTTGTGGTTTCCACAAAAAACTTTCAGACCCCGAATTCTTATAATGAAAATTAATCCATGGGTTTGTAATTTGCAGAGGAAGAAGATCCTAAGCTACTTCAACTGCTGTATAAAGGCTTGAAATCTTTCCTAGTAGCTGGAATCCTATCGCTTTTTGGCCGTCGCGACCGACTGGTTCGGTGGCCCGGAGTGATGCTCTGGCGAGCTTGTTACTACAACCTGTACACATTAATGGTGTATTCTTTGATTGTCAAACTGGATTAGGTTTCTGATTTGTGTCTGTTTAGCTCTATTTGTGATTCATTTTTACAGAAAGAATTATCTCTTTTAAACAAAGAATAAATGCTTGTACGTGATCTATGGAAATTCATGTGCTTATTCTCACTATTAAACAAGGAAAGATATGGGGCAGGTCTCTCAACCTTTTCACTAGATTATATTTATAACAATACAAAAAAGTTTGCCTCTACTGGTTAAAATTTATGTAATTGTACCCCAAATTTCAATGACCTTGTTAAATGACCCCTAAAGGAAATTTTTTGAAAAAATATGTAGTGCCTGCATTGGGTTTCAAAGAGTTTGCTAGCACCTCCCAGACTGTTTGATGTTTACATCGGAAGGTTGGGAAGGACTAACAAGTTGTTTAAGACCCAAATAACTAAGATAAGATAGGAATGACTCAAGGCTAGGTGGTTAGAGTGACAGGGTGTCATAATATGATGTCTTGATATCCCTTTTCTCGCTTAGCTATCCAAAAAGGAAGATACCAAGATAATATATAAATCTTTTTTTGCTAAATATATCCGAGCAAATTGTATAAAATTAGACCATTTACTTTGAATATTTAATATAAAGTGGTCACGATTACTTATAACCATCCAATGTGAAATCTAATAGCTCTGGTGTGTCAAAAAGTTCGAGAAAAATTCTTTTGAAGTTTAAAATTGGTCAATGGAATAAATGGATCCATCCAATAGTCAAGAGTAATTGTAACCATCTTGTACCAAATATAAAATAGTCCCATTATATACTTTTTTATCTTAAGGAAGAGTTTTTATTGGTAATTTGCTACATGACCGATTAAAAATGGAAAATAACGAAAGCTATCCTACCCGAAAATATTACTTTGGGTAAATTACCTTAACAAAATAATACTTTGGGTAAATTACCCTAAGCCAATGATAATAGAAAATGATCCTAGACAAGTTTGTAGAGATTTAGATCAACCAAGCTAAGAATTATCTAATAGTCAAATAGCATATGTGCATGTTTTGCTAATCAGAAACAAGGCAAAATTTTGCTTAAGTCCTTGGCCTTACAAAAAGTAAATCAAGTTTAACATTAGAAAACCTCAAATTCATTAGTTTGATTTTAACATGGATCTTGAACTAAAACAATAAAATTAAAGTCCTATAAATGTTGTAGTTTGTAACATATTATGTAGAGCACCTCACAGATTGGGTAGATTTACATTATTTTTGGAGTTTCAAAGTTCATAATTAGAGGCGGAAATAGATATTCATATCATAAATAGAGTTTTTGGCAGTGGAATTGCATTTTCTAGTGAAAGTTGAAGTGCATCTTTACTTCTTAAGGGCCGTTTGGGTACCTATAAATCAATTATAGGGAAATAGATTACTAAGAAATTCTTCATTTGTAGTGTTTTGGGTACGCACATGGTAGGCAGAAATGAAACGTATTATCAAAAATTTCCTTCAAAGTTGTGAAATCAATTACCCGTCCCAAGAGTTGGAGAATGCATTACGGAGTTGACGGGTAATGTTGAGCTTGACGGACCCGTTACAAAACATACAATAGATCTCATAAATTTGAGGTCCGTATAAAAGTGTGACTCTCTCTGTAAAATCTTGCGTAAATTTGAAGATCACAACTTTTTAACTTTACCAAGGTGCTCCTCTTTCTTTTTCTCTTTCTAAAATATTTACCCCTTTTTTTACGTTTTGTGATGCCCTTCTTTTTTATGTATTATCTACTAATTTAAATATATTGGTACTTTCTTCACTATACACATGTCTTCAAAACATTGCTGTTATATTAATATGAGTATTATAATTGTTTTTTATTGAGTTTTAATTGATATTTTTGGAAACATATTAAGAAATATAAAAAAATCACATTACTATAGGCAAAATTTATGCAATATTTTCAAGCCAAAATGACGGTATTGCATTTCTCAGATTTCCTTTAAACATAGCCAAACAACAACAACAACTTTTTAACAGAATAATTATAGGGAGAAGAGAAATTAAATTAATCAACGTGGATATTACTTTCATATATTAAAAAATAAAGTAGTTTTAATTGATTATTTATCCTAACAAAGAAAAAAAATACGGAAAAAAAAAGGATAAATTTAACACAATATTTTCTAGCCAAAATATTAATAATGTATTTCCTAGATTTCTTTTAGACATAGGCAAACAGTAACAATGTATTTCCCATGTTGCATCTAGATACTACCCAAACAATAACAATCCATTTGTCGGCAATGTATTATGCCGGTAATATATTTTTCAGATAATATATTTCCAGGTACCTAAACGATTAGTTAGTGTAGAGCCTACACCTTCTGCTAAAAGTATTCTTTGCCCCCCGACAAGAATCATGCATTTGAAGAAATAAAAATAAATATTTTGAGCTTTTAAGAATGATACCTTTTGTTCCAATTACTTCAATGATTATCATAGATGAACTATGTTTGGAGTTCAAAATGATCATCTCGACATCAAGATGTATCAATATAAAAGAAAAAGAAAAGAAAAAAAGATTTCAAGTCGTAAAATTAGTGCATCTTCAAATTCATTATCTAGATCTTCTATTTTCAAGATTTCATATGTTTATAGATTTACTTGATTTGAATCATTTTTTGATGTTTAAAACTCTATAATTAAAGACGAAAATAGATTCTCAAATCATCATAAGAATTTATGATACCAAAATATATCTTATGAGAAAACATGGAGGGGCACCTTATTTTGAAGGTTTAAGGTTGCAACCGTATGTAAACCACTTAAATACTTGATCATTTTGTCTTTGGGATAAATATTTTTGTAAACCCTATTTTTAGGTTTCATTAATTTATAGACGAAAAGTTTCGAAACCTACCCACAAGAAATCCTATCTATTATATTTTTTATCCGCCTAATACACCTTTATCCATTTTTATCTACTCTTTTTTGCCCAAACAAATTTAGAAAAAATATTTTTTTTTCGAAAACCCATCTCTCCCTGTGCATATTTCTCTTTCTCTCTCTTCACTCTCTGTATTTCTCTTTGTCTCTCTTCCCATAAATCGCCTAAACCCACCCCTCTTTCTCTCTCTCCCTGTTTCACTCTCTCCTCATGCTTTCCCAAATTTCCCCCCTCTTTCTTCGTTTTTTCCCATCCTCTCTCTCTCTCTCTCTCTCTCTCTGATTCCCCAAATCCTCCTCGCTCTCTCTCTATCTTTTTACCCATAATCTCTCTGTCGCTGAATTCATCTCCCAAAATCCACAGGCTTGATGGAGAGTGGCTCTCCCTCCATTATTGAAAAGACATTGAAAATTCGTCTCCCCTCTCCATCTCTCCTTTTTTCCACTCTTTATTACCTATTTTTTATTTGATTATTTTCTCCTGTCTCACTTTCTATTAGTATCATTGCAATTATTCTCTCTCTAAATTCACTAAAGTTAAAAAAGAAAGTACCCTCTCTAAATCCTTCAACGAGAAGGGCACCATCGTATTCTCAATATTGTAACTTGGTATTATTATTTCATTCTAAAATCATTAAAGTTCAAAAGAATGTGTTTCTCTCTCTAGACCCTTTTGGAAAGAAGGTCACAATTGTGGCCTATTGCAGCTTAGAGTTGTTCATCAAATACTTCCATAGGCTCGATCTCTTGTTTATTGCATGTCAACGTGTTTTTCACTCTAAAATTCAACAAAGTTCACAAAAAAAAATGCGTTTCTCTCTCTAAAAATAGTGTTCGATGTGGTAACTCCTTTAATCCCATATCGTTTTCAAAAAGAGGTTGAGGGCTAGAAGAGAGCTATAAATAGAGAGGTAAACGATATATTAAAGCATACCTTTCTCGGCCTTTTGGCTAAGATCAAGTGTAGTATCTGTTCTTATCAGTTTAATATCTGATACGTGGTCTATGTGATCACATGATATTAAATTAATTTTTCAGTGGGGGAGGGTCCACCACACTAGCTTGCTAGTGGGTCCCTCGAGTGTCGCCCATGAGTTGCACTACTGCACGGGCCTGGCGCACCCCTATCAAAACTAATCCCAATTGTTCTTATATATAAAAAATATGTTCAATAATTATTTACTGTAATATATACAAAATACCATTTCAAGTTTGGATTTGGTAATATTTTTTATTTTTTAGGTCCCAATATATAATATATATATAAATATAATTACATAATAGTTGTTTTAATTTTTGAGTTAGATTTCGGGTTAGATATGGTTTCGATCCATATCCGACTCGCTGCCTCCCTTTAGGGTTCCATGAATTATTCAACATTTTTTTTTTACTTGCAAATTATGAAGAATTTTTTAGTAATTTTTCATTTTCAGACTATTTAATATTTCTTTTCATTTTCAACTAACTCATGTTCACATGTGTGTTTTGATGGGTTATGTGAAGAGTTGAATTTGGGTGTGGTTTGTAATAAGATGTAATTTTGGAGTAAAAAAATTATTGCAATGGCCCGAAAATCTATTTTCATATCTAATTATAAAATTCTACTCTAAAAATGGTTGAAACTTGAACTCAAATAGATTCACATGATAATCTCGAAATAGATGGTCCAAATAATGTATTAAAAGATGCAATATTTTTGAAATTGAAAATCTATTTTTTCTTTCCATATATCTCGATGTCGAGATGATCAATTAGAGGGTTTTCGAACATCAAAACAGCCTTTTCCAAGATCTTTTAGATTTGCACCGTAATTCTATAGTTTAAGGTTGCAACCTTAGATAAACTTTTTCCTTTGAATTTTCATGGGTTTTATAGGTAAAGGGTGAGGCTTGTATATTACATAAGAAAGGCGCTCCTCTAAGATTTGCCATGTAAAATTCCGGTGTTGTAAACGTTTCACAAATTATTTTTATCCCTAGTCATGAAATTTAAAATTTAAAAAATAATACGAATTGAACAAATGAAGAAATACCTGAAAATAGACGATTCATATAATTTGTTGCAAGATGTACTATTTTTAGGGTTTGAGTTTCTTTTTTTTTCTTCATATTCATACATCTTGAGGTCGAAAATCGAGATGATCAATCGGACGGCTCTTAATCAAGAATCGAGATAATCAATTGGAGGGCTCTTCAACAGCGAAAAACTATCTTCTAGAAGATTTTTGAGGTGCATTATACTTCAATAGTATGAGGTAGCAACCTTATTCTATGAACATTGTCCATATGGAAAATGATCTATTGTTAATCTTAAACCATATTCAACTATTCCAACTCATGATGGTTTTTTCGGTAAAAGGTTAAAAAAGGTCATCTCTTTTTACCATATTTAACCATTTGAACTGATGATTGTTTGTGCTGATGAGCATTACTAGTACAGTATTAAATAGTTTCTCTTAAATGCATGATAAATATCTTATTCAACTGTTTTAACAACTCTCTCATTTTTTTCTCATTACAGTTGGTTTTGCTGTGATTTCAAAAAGCTTATCAAAAGGCATGTCAAATAATTCATATTAATCATGATTAGAATTGTGGGTAGACATTATTCTAGTTAATCAGGTGTAGAAAAGTTGGGTTTGATATAAAATTCAAGAAGCCCATCAAAGGACTTGACACAATTATGAGCTAAAGAATAACTATTATCTCAATTTCCAAAATTTGGTTATGAATCTTGTGACCTCCTTGTAATAAAAATAAATGGTCTCTCCATAGACAATCCCATAATAATAATAACTACTCCGACAAGAATACAACCAATAGAATCATTACCCATGTTAGTAATTGAGCTAAAGAATAACTATTATCTCAATTTCCAAAATTTGGTTATGAATCATGTGACCTCCTTGTAATAAAAATAAATGGTCTCTCCATAGACAATCCCATAATAATAATAACTACTCCGACAAGAATACAAGCAATAGAATCATTACCCATGTTAGTAATTGAAGACTTGAAGGTTATAATGTGATAATGGTACAATAACACCATCAAACCAACTAAATGTACACCAGCTAAAGAATCCCACCACCCATATTAACTAGTGTTCCAGAATCCTAACACCCATGTTAACTACTGTTCAAATTGCCGACCGGGATTGAAAATCACCAATCCAAATTGAGAATCGCTGACAATCACGCTGGTTTTTTATTTGAATCATCGATTAGCAAGTTATATAATATGCAATATATGTAGAACTCAAAAGAATAATGTAAAATAGTTCATTTGTATAGCATGTGTGTTTGCCTTCCCTCACATTCGAGGTTTGAATTTCATGATTGGCGCCTTCTAATTTTTTTCAGTGTCAAAACATAAAAAAAATATAAGAGACCAAAACAATTATATTATATGAGTAGGAAGTCGTCGAACAACAGAGCTTGTATTTAACATCCCAAGGTGTTGCCAAGAAAACCGAGACTGTAATTTGTCCTAGCATTCAAATATGAAAATCCTTTTTTTTTTGTGATTGCAAATCCGGGTGATCCGAATCACCAATCCACCCGATTTGGGATGGGATCAGAGGGTGGGCAATCCACCCCACTGATCCGTTCTTTAAACATTGATATTAACATTTGAAGTTTATAATATAATAGCCAAGAAAACATTAAAACCACCAAACCAACTATTGGTACACCGATAGCAATAAGAATAGAAGCATTATACTCCAATTTCTTGCAAGAATCTTACAAGATTTATACAATAGGAACAACCAAAACAATACTAATTACAATGATAACAGGGTGTTAACATAATTTTGAGAAAAAAACTGTGCTCTATGTTTACTTCTTATTTTGGTTTGAAGAATGCTTGAATTCTAACTGATGATCTGTTAGGATTCCACTGTTTTTATCATCCGTTGAACTGGAGCATGAAGAGATGAATAATATGCCGAGTCCATCTTATCAATGCCATCAAAAAGATAACTGAAAGGAGGCATTGGCACATACCGTCCAGTGCCTGGCTCAACCTTAAGCTCACCATTTTCCCACACAATTCTTCCTCTTGAGATTGTCACTTCGATTTTGCCCTGCATAAAAAACACAGTGATTCTCTTAAATTTTTCTAATTCCACTGTTAGTGAGAACAAAGAAGTTATAATTGGATTCATAAATGAAGTGTAGTTTATGATTTCAAATTTCATGCAACTGAGTTGTGGGAATAAATCAGCAAATAATGTGGAGACTGAAATTCCTTTTTAGTTAACTTCTAAAGAAATAGTTGGTTTAAAGAATTTCTTGATAAGGACAAGATATCCCCATAGATTTCAGGTCAATTTATCCATACAGATAGCATATGCATTGTATGTCTCATGAGTAAGTATACACCTTTCCTCTTTTGCCCTCGTAAACATTTGTATCTGTTCTAGAGTGGTGGGACTCTGCATTAATTTGAAAGCTTGAATTTGGATTTAGTATGATGATATCTGCATCAGAGCCAGTCAGTATCGCTCCTTTTCTTGGATATATGTTAAATATTTGAGCACTGCAATCAACAAAATGCACAAGAAAAGGACATTAGTTACTACAATTGGAGAATGCAGAAAAGGTGACTGATATAGTGAAACACCTTATATTAATTAGAGACTACCAAATATACTTACAACTTCCATTCAAATGAAAAGCAAAGGGCTTCATGAGCTTCTTATTAAAAAAATTAATCCCATTCTCTTCAGGTTGTGAGACTTACTGCCAATGTATGATATGCTGCTAATAAGAAAATGTTGATATGAATAATCCCAGTGCCTCAAAATTGTAACAGACACATTACCACTGTTTGCACATTTTAATTTGATAAATACATAACTTGAAATAGGTGGTACTCTACCTAGGAAGAAATTGAAAATTCTGCGAATGCGTAATATGCATATTTTATTAGTGGTATATTCATTACGTGTGGCTTCCCAAAACATGTTTCTCAGAGTCGCCCATGACTTGGTACTGACCTTCAAAAGTGATCCATATCTTCAAGCACAAAACTATGCATCTACATCATGGAGCCTAAGGATGTCTTACACAAAATATGAAATATAATATTGACCATTTATTGTGCTTATAGATTTTTATAGTTCACTTCTCTGTAATCACAAAGAGTTTTTAAAAATTGCTACTTCAAACCTTGCATTATACTAATTAAAACAAAAATAATTAGAAGCCCTTTCCTACAAGTTCCAACTTCATACCATGCAGTACTTGTTATTCGAACAAAATCACTGGCTGATATCTGGCCGGTTTCCTGCATGAAACAACATTTTTGTTGAGCTTGTAGATTACTACAAAGCTCATCCAAACAATATCAGATGTTTACTGCAACTTACCACCATTAAATCCCAGACAAGATGCATGCGCTCTTCAATGCCTGTGGTTGTTTCAACAATCGACATTTTGTAAGTGTGAGAAGGTATCCAAATGGAGCAGTTTGTTCAATCTGTCAATGAAAATGAAAGAATGAAACTTCCAGTTTTTCTCACAAAAGCAAAGGAGAGAGTTACCATTAACACCATTCGGAATTTTACGAAAATCATGGATTCCCATGGCTTTCTGTGCGGAGTTGAATGTACAATGATCGGTTCCTACCAACTTCACATAAAATACAAATTCAGAATTAGTAAGAAGTTGCCAGACTTTCTATCTGCAAATTCTTATGAAAGATATATTGTGCCCTTTAAATCAGAATGGTTATAGAAAACCACAACAACATCCAATTGTATTCAATTTTTTAAACAAAAATTGAATACATCAATTTCTTGCAATTCAGAAACTGAAAATAAAGGACCCTTTGTGCCACATCCTCTAATTATTTATTTCCTAATTTCCCCTGTAAGAGATTGTACTATAAAAGTTAAATAAGACATTTACAAGATAGAAACCAGAGTGCTGGAAACATTAAAACATTACTACTGGAACTTATTTTATATCTTCAAATGTACGCCCAACTTTGTCAGGACGCCATAACATTCAAATTTCTTTCTTCAAGATTTGTATCGTCATTTAGAGAGAATGCAGGAGAAGAAACTACCAAGACTAGATAAATCGTTTAAATAGATAAACAAGAATAAATAAAAAATTGATCCTAATGTCTACTAGAGAGGATACCTGGAGAATCCCAGATGAAAGAGCACCCTGAAGAGCTTTATCATGCCCAGATTTCCTTATTGGAGGACTCATAACATACCTGAAAACAGAATCACATGAATCTTGTTGCATCCTTAGGGTGCTAAAATTAAATGAAAAGAGAAATAAAAATGAATGTTAAGGGTTGGGCTGTATGAATTCTTACTTGGCTGCTGTAATGAAGTCAGGATCCCAAAGCTTAGATTCATCAAGGACCAGACCAGAAACTACAGGCTCTCCAATGACCCTCTGTCCTGCAGATGGCAGTAAATGAAGCAAGTATGAGCTCCAGTTTGAACAATGACACCTCAATGCAACAACAAATGTAGGAAGAGACTTAGAGTATGTGTCGACAATGAATATCTGTTTGCTAATGTCCAGCAATCGAGTTAACGTACCTATAAGTCAGGAGCATCCTAGCAGTTTGCTAACAAATCAGCACATTTGTCATCTCAAGATCTCCAAGAGCATTGATGGTTATGTGATAGTTTTGTGTGCTCATTGATCCGGTGTTTTTTGGGTGTGGCTAGCTGAAGTTCATGCGATAGTATTTAAATATTTGTGGACCAGACTTCATATAAGTTGCGCATCATCAAAAGCCAGATTACAATAACAGATTTCACTTTTGGGTGCAATTGGAATTCATTATGAAGGGCACATGGTGGCAGCATTTGGTTAAACAAAAGGTGTATGAAAGGTATGCATCAGGATTTTCCATTGATGGCCAAACATGCTAATGCAGTGATATGAAATGCCTAAAGATATATCATCGCTATTGTAAAACACATAAAACTAAAAGTGCATATAGTGATAATTATGGGGTAAAAAATTTAAAACTTAGCCAAAAGAAAGAAAACAACACAAGTTGGAAGCTTGTGGAACCTGATTTACGAGCCTGGGCAATTTCTTCCAAAGCATCAATGCTCATTACATGAACTACATACAAGGGTGTATTTACAAATGCTGCCAACCGAATAGCTCTGGCAGTTGCCTCCCCTTCCAGCTGAATGAATATCAATTTAAATGATGAAACAACAAAACAGGAAAAGCCAAACTGAAGATTGAATCTCATGAAAGTAAAAAATGAACAGAATAATTTGTAAAAGTTCAAGGAAGATGTTCAACTCAAACAGAAACGAGCAGTAATGTAACAATTTTTACCACAAATTTAAGTGCATGGGTGGAAAACCAGTAACAGGATGAGAGACCTCCTATGAAGCACTCATATATGGGTTGTCAAAAAGCCAAGCCAGATCTGCTTGGCTCATAATGAGCCAAGCTTGAGAAATATTTTTCAGCCCGACAAGCCAAGCCTGCAGGCTCAGGCCAAGCTCAAGCTGAGACACGCTTGGCCTGATCTTGTTTAATATCTTACATATATAATATCCAAAAAATATACACGACTACCCAAAAGAGAAAACTTACCTTTAAGATACTAAGTTGAGTGACTTAGATATTACATTGTATATTGCCTTATTTATGGGCTTGTGGTTTTGACTCTTGTTTAATCAAGTCGCCAAGGTAAAAAAGTCAAGCCAAGTCAAGCCCAAGCTTGGTTGTTTAAACTCGAGTCAGGCTGAAGCTGATCCCAAGCCGGACTTCCATACATAAAAGCCAAGCTTGACCATGCCCAAGCCCGCCATGGCTTGGTTAGTTGAGACCCCTAACTTATAATGCACCAATAGTTACCAAGTGGAAGAAAGTTAAAGTAAGTTCTCATTATAAAGAAACATATTTTAATTTTTGTTGCACTCTGTAAAAGAATTTATTCAAATTCTTAAATTTAGAACCCAATAAACAATGATTTGAATATTACCAGTGGTGGTCTAGAAAGTGCGTGCCCCTCTGGACCCATTATGCCAAGTTCGATCATTCTTCTCTGTCCTTCAGCAACACCATCACCATTTTCTGCATGCACCTGAGCCAAGGCACCAAGAGACTTACACTTTTTAAAGCCTTCCAGGAGCAGTTCATCATTGATCATGAAAGAGCCTTTGTACGCCATGAAAAATTTGAAAGAATTGATACCTATCAATTAAAAAAAGGAATATCTTGTGATATAATATAAAACAATTAAAAGGTGTCTCTCTCTCTTACAGCTTTAGTATAATTTTAGACTTGAACTCGAACTAAATTTGCGGGTAAAATAATGAAAGTAAATGCACACACACCTCTCTCCTTAACCATGATATCCATATCTCTAGCAACATCATCATCCCATTTTGTGATTGCCATATGGAAACCATAATCCATACAAGACTTTTCAGCTTTACGTGAATAGGCTTCAAAACCAGCAGATAAACTCCCATTAACCGGTAATACAAAATCAATGTGCATTGTAGTCCCCCCTGATAATGCAGCAGCCTGACCACTGAAGAAGTCATCAATCGCCTCTGTACCCATGAATTCCATCTCCAGGTGTGTATGGGGATCAATGCCGCCTATTTTAATTGAAAAAGAGAGAGAGAGAGAGAGAAATAAAATGTTTTCATGCTTTATTATGACGGAAAAAATTATGCCATTCCTGTACATTTATTGCATTTTATGCTTTTCAATGTATTTACCTGGCATGACATACTTCCCTGTGGCATCAATGACACGTACATCATCAGAAACCTATAGACATCAGGCAAACCAGCATCAGCACCAGGGGTAAATCTAGCACAGCAAAAGAATCAATCCAAGTCAACATCAGAAGCAGGCCATTTAATGTAAGGGTAACAAATGAACCCAAAAAACCAACGCATTCAACAATCGTATATTAACACATAGAAAGGGTTATTTACTGGATTCCCACAAACATAATTTCACAGAGAGAAAAAAGCATAATTCTCTCACAATTAACATAATTGAAAAAGAATTGAATGCTCTTGCTTTAAAGGTTTCAGCTTTTCCAGGAGTCAGGATTAAATACTAATGATGGCGAAGATTGCTATGCCATGGTAGTCTTATTGCACTAAGGAAATCTCTGATCTTTTCTCCGGCATCATATGAATCATTGTCATACCTAAATCAGAAGGTGGGTGAAGGTATTTTGGGTTCATTCAGTCTTTAATTCATCTTCCCCTGTTTACACCAATAATCTACCATCGAAACTTCCAGTTTTTAAAAAGATCCATGCACAACTACTATGATCTATGCTCCATTTCACCCCTATTAGTTTCAGGACTCAATTGCAAAAAAGCCAATAATTTGGAGATCCTGATGGATTTCCATCCCTCTGATCATATTACGATTTCCTTTGGTCAATTAGCATGTGCATTGACCAAACTAGCACATATCTACAGTTTGCCATGTTCTAAGACTTTGAGAGATGCCACTTTTAAGTCACATGTCTTTCACTAACAACAAATATACTTCTGGACCTATACGGCACAAGCCCTCCCTTGTATGGATTAACCTAAGATAAATGATACATAACCATTGTCATCAATATCATTTATTCTTAAACCAAATCAGATGACACTTCTTAAGTCATGAAATATTCCGAGCATCTTCTACCGAGGCAGGGACTATAAAGTCCCATATTGAAAGATATTTCATGGGATAGACCATGTCACAGACCAATCCTTGAAATGTTAAACCAGTGCCCGAGAAAATGTTACTGAGAACCAGAAAATGTTTGATACGACAGAAAAATAATAAACAACAGTGAACAAATTTTAATTCCCATCTATACATCACATACATGGAAAATTAAGGAAACCAAAAGGTGATATTGCTCGTTATACATCAAAGTGGTGGCCAGAGAAGCACTCTCAATTTAGGAAGTTGTCATCTCTCCATACCAAGCCCTAATTAATGTGGGCAATTTATAGATATGCATTTGCAAAACCAGCATTCATTTTACTAAACAAACCATAGAAAGAGCACTCAATTTCATCCACATAGATACTGAAAATCTCGAGTCAACAGCGCCCTCTTCTTCATTAAATCTATGAGTTGCCCAACTTTGGGGAAAATATTACAAATCACAAGAAGAAAACAGTAAGATGTAAAAACATAATAGATTCACACACGTCATAGGAAGCATAGAACGCAAATGTAAAAACGTAAGAGATTCACAGACATCATAGGTAGAATAGAACAAAAAATCACTTCAGGCTTCAAGGATTGAAAGCCTTACGTTGATATTAGGCTGCACAGCAATAATGATTCCATCTTCAATATACACATCTGCAACTTCATGGTGGTGTGCATTGACCACAGTGCCTCCTTTGATCAAAATCTTGGGGGATGGTACAAAATCTAAGCACCCATATTCAGCAGTGCAAAACTGTTGACACAAATACTTGCAACATAAGAACCTTTAACACTCACCCCGAAAAAAAAGGACCCAAAGATAATAATGCATAGTTGCAACTTGAAATTCATTAACAAAAAATTGCAGCATAAAACTGGAATACCAAGTAACTCCTCAATTAAAGGAACGTTTGATTTTCTTACATACAAAACACCAAAATGGATAATATGAAAAGAGTTTCCCAGAGTATGTGGCAGTTACAAACTCAGTGAGTCCACCTCAGACTCACCCAAGTTACTCAGGCTCAGCAGGCCACTAAGTCCAGAAGCAAAACATGGGAATCGGCCGAGTCTGGATGGTTCCCAATATTTAATTTTATATTTGTTTTGGACTTGACCGAGTCTCTAACAGTAACAGACTTGGCCAAGTCTGCCAGACCTAATTCCGGCTCAGGACCCTAGGGAGTCCCGACCCAGGTCCTTATTTTTTAAACTGCTATGTACTCTGGAAAATAGGCAGTTTAAAGGAATAACCAAAGCCGCATATAAATAATTCAAATTTTCAAATGATCTCTAAAAACTACACCATTTCTCTTGATAACTAATAAATGCAATTCATATTACACAATGCGTTATAACTTTCTTCCGTGACTTTTGTAAATAAACCATATTCAAAATCAAAACGAACTCAAATTTTTAATTTGTAATATCACCAATAAATTTCCGTCTCTAAAATGGCTTGTTGGACCATAATACTCCAAATCTAAAGTAGCACTCATTTGTTTCTCTTTGAATTTAGATACTCTTATTAAAACCCGATTCCAAACTTATCAAAAGAAATTTGGAAGGAAAACATTTATATAAGGAGGGAAAAGTTGCAATAAACTGCATCATCTATTTTAGAATAGATGGAAGGTGTAGATTTAACACTACCTTAAGTCGCATGTCAAATTTTAACAGTGTTGAAGGATGAATCTAATCTGTGTCCAACTAAAACGAAGGTGTAGAGCACCATAAGCTCATTTCTACAAATAAGGCTATCACCTGATATAACCCGCCTCCAATTCAAAATTGATTCAAACAAGATTCCACGGAAGAACAACACCAAATCTCGACTGCAAACTCACTGTCAAGTGCTAATATTTCATTCTAAATTCAGTAACTTTTCCATCACCAAAATCATAAACACCAAATCTCAGTAACATAAACATCAATCATACCCAAATCCTAACAGTCCAGTACTTATATTTAGTTCTCAGACTTTACAAATAACAACCATCAAATTCTCACACAAAACCATACAAGAAGAACCATCAAATTCTCACATAAAACCATACAACAAGCACACCAAATCAAAGACAAAACAAAGAAACAACCACTTCAACATTAAAACTTCCAACCCAGAAAATTTTTTCAGAGCTTAATCCAAATCAAGCGCAAAAAGAAATAAAATAAACCTTAGAGACTGTAAAACCAAAGGAAGCAGAGAGAAACAGACAGAGAGCTTACTCCATTTTCATTAGTAGATGTTAAAACCAGAGGAATTAAAGAAGTAAGAAGAAGAAGAGGAAGAGGAAGCCAATCGAGAGAGAAGGAATTCGCCATGAAAAGGGCTCTGACTTTTCAGACTGTTATCTGAGGAATAAAAAAGATTCCGGGTTCTCGAAAGTACCCACTATTTCTAGCAGTATCAGTGCGCTAAAGCCGGTAAGTTGTGAATCTGGACCGTCCAATCATCTGCCATGAAGTAGCAATTTTTCCACACGTGGCCCGCTGAAAATGGCTCTCTCAGAGTTTGCCCCCTTAGTGCTGAATTTTGTGGTTTTGGAGAAAAAGTCGTTTTCATGGGGCTGCGGGTCTTGCGTATCCGGTAAAACCGCACTTCAAAACCCTACCTACACTGGGAAAGGTGTTGGGGTAGCACACCGCATGTATCTCAATTACACGTTGTGGATTATATTCCCACTAACAACTTTGAAAATAATTGACTAATTAAAAAATGGTAGGGTTGACTGAAATACCCATAAAAACTCGCATATCAAAACCCTACCAGAAATGGACGGGAATTGCATACGCCCATATCTCAGTTGCACGATATTGTATACTTCAGTTGCACGATGTGGCTTCTATTTTCATTGGTAGGACTTGTCATCTTCCCTAAATTATCCAAAAAAACTAAATCATGCTCGAAAATATACTTCTGGCACGTGGTAAACTTTTTCGACACAAGAAACATTTTAGGGTGCTGTTTGTATGAGGCACCCTCTTTATATTGCAAAAGTAAGGTGCACCTTTATATTTTGATAGGAGATGTAGCATCAGCGTGAGAAACCTTACGATGGATTGAGTTATTTTCATTCATAGTTGTAAAATTTAAAATTTCAACTTGATCAAATCTATAAGCACTTGAAAATCTTGAAAATAAATTGTCCAAATAGCTAGTTACAAGATGCATTATTTTTCGATGATATTTTTCGATGATATGTTGGAGGGTTTTCCAACACTTACTTTCTATAGCATTTTTTAGATGCAACTTATTTCACTAATATACGTAGATCCATGAACACTTGAATTTAAATTAAACACTCCAAAAAATGTGTCACAAGATAAATGCTTTTTGCGGATTTCAATCTTTTCCCTTTTTGGAGGGATTTCTGAAGCATGTTTTAGACAGGCCTATCATTAGAAGTAGGGGGATTTGGACGGTCAGATGACGTTGCAGGCATGATCCTTGCCACACATGAATGGCTCTTATAGAAATCAACTTTAAATGCATGTGAAGAATCGATTGCCATGTGATTCTCTTCATCCACTCTGCTTGAAAACTCAGAAGGGAGGGAGATGAAAAAATCCGATATTAATCAAACGTTATCCTTTGTACAGGACTTTTGGTTCCCTCATTGAGATGCTCCCGAGTTAAAACATCAGGAAGAGAATTTTGGTCGCCAAAAATGTACTCAACTTAAAAGTTGCAGGGAGAGAAAATCAACTTTTCTAAAATTTGACATGGAAATTTATCTAGGTCACAATCATCCTGTGCTGAAATAAAAATTTCAACTGAATATCAAAAATGATTATTATTTTTCTCCCTCGAAAAAAAAGTATAACAACAAGTACATTAAACAATTTAAAAATAAGGAGGCCTCAGATTGTATCTCAATTACAGAGAAATTGATTGATTTCAATGTTTCACATGATGGGTTTCATCATTCTGCAGATATAGGAAGATAACTCTTAAAACATACACACTTAAACAGACTAGGGAGAGAATAGAAAGAAAGGTCATCCCTCTCACACACATACAGGCGAACATGCACGCACACAGAGAGAGGGAGAGAGAGCACGCGCGTGCACACACACACAATGAGAGAGAGAGAGAGAGAGAGAGAGAGAGAGAGAGAGAGGGAGAGAGAGAGGGGCACATGATAAAGAAAGCAAGGTCCCTGCTTAGTAAGGGGCACATGATAAAGAAGCAAGGTCCCTGCTTAGTAAATTATTGGGATTATATAATTAACCATGTCCAAGCATGTCCAAAGAGTGTCGCTTAACAGTGTCCCCTTCACTGTTACCACAGAGTCAGCTAAAACATTAGCCCTTACCATGGCTGTTGCCCAAAAGCCTTAGCCACATATATCCATTTCCTAATATAAACACCACCATTCCCCTAACCACATGATTCCCCTCTCCTCTCTCTCTCTCTAAAACCTTGACAACCACTTTCGCAACACCATCTAAATTCTAACCCTAAAACCCAGACTTCAGCACCATTACTTATCATTATTGTGACAGTCCTATAACATAACTGAGCTTTGGCAGATACTGGTAACGAGTAAATTAAGGGGAGGCCCACACAAAGTATGAGCAACGAGCCCCCCATACTGTGGTCCAATTCCCACAGCCAAAGAAGAAGCTCCCATGTTTTGGGCCTGGCTTCTTCGCCATTATCTTGCTACTCATAACACCACAATAGCAATAAGTGGTGGTGCCTGCCGCCTTGTGGAGTGGGCCAGTGGGCTCGGTCCAGGGGGCCAGGTTTGACTGCTTGGCTAATATAGTGGGCCTCTGTTGGTTGTTGTTAAGGTGGTAAGGTCCAATGAGCCTGTCTGGGCTTTGGAGCAGAGCCCCCATAATGGATTCCTGGGGCCCATGGGGTGGCATTGCTAGGTCAGCGATGCGCCAGGTCAGTGAGTTGGTGATGGAGAAGCGGAAGCCACGAGACATAAGGTGGGAGAGGAGGCGGGCGGTGTTGCGGGCATCGTCGAGGCCACAGTGGGCACGCCCCTCCCACTCCAGGCCTGCTCGCTGAACTGCCTCCTTGAGGTTGCAACGCACATCCCCAAACACCTCATGGAAGGGAACCTTCAGGTTGATCCACCTGGTAGAGCAACATGATTGAGAGTGTGAGTGGGGGTTCATTAATTCTTCACTATTCTTTCTCTCTATAATCCATAGAATAAATGACTCTCTCTCTCTCTCTCTCACACACACACACACACATCCACATCCATAGCATACATGACTCTCTCTCCCACATATATCTTTCTCTATCATCCAAGGAATAAGTTCACTCTCTCCAATGGATAGATAATCCCCTTTCCAAAAAGACCCCAAATTTTCAGGATTGGCCACCAAGACCAGTTGTTACCAAGCCCTTATTTTCATAAAATGCTTCAAGAATGAAGTGTCAAACATTATTGGTTTTTCAAAAAATTCCTGCAAAAAACCAATCTGTTAAAAGAAGATAAAAGAAGAGAGGGCTTTTAAGTCTTGTGTATATGATGGCCTTCAATAATTTCTGAAAATACTTCAGTAATATTTAATTTTTTGAAAAGGGAAAATATTCCAATAATATATATATATATATATTTTGATAATGTTAACATAATATTCCAATAATATTTTAAGAAAGAGTAATAAAACAATCCAATGGAGAGTAGGAAAACTAGTCCATCGAAGTCATGACCCCTTGATCAAATGAGGGAAGGTGATAGAGAGAACGGGACCTACCATTGGCATCATGTCGTGTTTTGGCAGGTCATTAACCCAATGGATTATTGTTTTCATAGTCCAGAAACATGATGATGATTAGAAGAATGGAGGAACATGATCCATTTACCCGACTCCAAATAATTGGGATGAGGCTTGGATGATTGTTTGTGGACTCATGATGAGTCCACAAACAACAGCATGCCTTCCAATACTTTCATATCTATGCAAAATGAAAGTCTACAAAGAATCATACAATTCATCATCATCACCATCCCAGGCTTATCCCAACTATGAGATACATTGGTTCAAGATTCATGATAGAGATGTGGCATCCTTTCTCATCCGGGTAATGGCGGAGTTACTACAATCATACACTTACTACAAACAAAATGCTTACTGCAATAATTACCTATTAAAATAAGGAGGTTTCCTTATCCTCTTGAACCTGCACTCTGACTCTAACATCACCTTGCAATCCCAGTTAGACCATGTCACAACTGCAAAGTTCGTATGCTTGATCCCCTTGTCTTCCAGCCATTTATCATGCATAAGTAAAGCTTCGCCCAAAGGAACACCTCTGTCCACCTGAATTCAGACTTGATTAGAATTCAGCAGGACGAGGATTAATCAATATTTGCAGGTACAAAAGGCATGAGGTATATCCAAAGGCCCATCGCAAAATAGCACCAATAGCCAGAAGATACAACAAGCCAAGTCATAAGCCCAAAAGGAAACTTAGATAAGTATCCAAATACTTTGTTTAGTTACAATGAGTCTGACTACTTTCAAATGCCATAAGATCAGTTGCATATAGTGGTCAAGGACAAAAGTCTTTAAACATGCTCGTGGCTAAACCACCTGGCTAGGTGATGGCTCTAATTGACCAACATAGAACTACAATATAACAAAGCACGCCAACTACAATATAACAAAGCACGCCCCTTGGAAGGAGCATACAAAATGATAAAAAGTTAAGCATCAAAGATATGTAGACATGTGCAGAAGCATATGAAAACATGAGCGCACACACACACACATACATTGCACAAGCATTATATTGAGATGCATTGTAATAAAGAGTTTCCCATGAGGAAGCTAAGATGAGATAAAACATGAATACATGATTACAAGTCATAAATTTGACTAGAGGGTATACGGTATGTAACCTAAATAACCCCTGCAACATGACAATAGAATAAACCCCATCTTTGCAGAACTCTGGGAGAGGAAGCAGGCATTGACAAAGAGACAACTGTCCCAGAGGAATCACCTAAAGATCACCAAAGACCCGTAGATCCCGAGAGTGCAGACCCTATTCTTCAGGGTTCCAACAACTAATCTAAAAGAGAGTTCCCATCTAATCAGTTTTAGAACAACATTCCCCGAAACAGAAGGAAGCTTGACTGCTAAAAGCATTCATATGATGGGAAAATTGCAATCAATGTACCATAGCAGGAAGTATAATCCCAACCATAAATTACAATATTGGTGAATCTCATCATATTTTGGCCTTCATCCTAGGTCAGAAACAAGGCAGGTACGACCACCAACTTCTATTTCTCCTGATATACTTTTTCGTTTTTGGGTGAATAAAAGGGAGTATTCCTGGTGGGGTTTGAACCCATATAATTGAATAGAAGGCATAAATCAACAAGTATTCAAAATTAAAATATTTTAATTTGGAATGAGATTCATATGAAATTCGGGTAATTGTCATTCCTAAGAGTTTTTCTTTAAGAAAATAAGTTAAGATTTTGTATTTGGCTGGAATTCTGTCCCGAATCAACTCTTGGCTTCAAGCCTCAGCCCTAGCAATTGTAACTCTGCCCAAACAGTGAACCCATCGGTGGGAGAGTGTGCTGCTAAAAAAGCATCTCAGTTGGCAGCATGAGATAGCAAGATAGGCTATACCTGGTGTAGGAACCATGTTACTGGCAACACTTGAGAGGAAATCCAATGGCTTCCAAGGAAGAGGATGAAAGTTGGTTTTGTAGCTCTTGCTATAGTGTTGGCTAAGGGTCAAAGTCTATCAGTATAGATCAGTTCTTGTTTTGAAACTGTTAACGGTGTTGTATTAAGATAAAAGGAGAACTACAGAGTGAATGAGGGGGGAGGGGGATAGAGACCACCCACTAGACCGGGGGTTCTATACCAAAAAATAGGCTAACACAGAGTGGTGGATACAAAAAATGGGGATAACCCCGTACATATGCACAAGAAGGCCAAAAAGCTGTGGGGGTATGGGCCACAGAACTTATAACAAAGAAAAATACAATGCTCCACAGGAAGTAACAGGAGGGTTATCCAAAAATCAGGGGGTGCTTGAAAGGGCTCCTTGCTTAGCCAGGGTGTCCACTTGGGCGTTTGATTTCCGCCAGGTATGCCACCATAACGACGATATCCCTGCAAAGGTGAGCAATCTCGTCAAAAATAGGGGCGAGGTACCAGGGACAAGGTGAGGAGCCTGAGGCCCAGGAGATGACATTTAGTATAGACCAGTTTTTGTTCCTGTAAAGTACAAACCATCTGAAGGTTTGAACAATGATCAGTCTCACATTATGATAACACATATGATCCAACTAGCTTCACCAAGCTATCATCAGCCGTCCCTAGATTCGCAACCAGTGAACATAAAAGCCTGGAATTTCATGAAACCACTGAGAATCTACATCACATTCTTGTGACCTTAAGAATGAATAACGATTCTGCAAGGTGAATGCAGTGACTCAATATAGATCTTAAGCAACTCTGGACAGTACCCTCAAGAGGTCAGCTAGGCATCCCAGAGAAAGCAACAACTGTAAAACAAATAAAAAATTGTAAAAATATCTATTTCATCTATTTCTTGTAAGCTAATTCCATTTTTTAATCAAATCTCACTAGATAAAAAGGAGAAAAGAAAGACAATCACATTTATCTAACAAGTTATGATCTGAAAAGCAAATTGAACAGTGTATGCTGAAAATATTTTTTACCGAGGTAACCATCAAATGCTCTCTATAAATGGCCACATTGTCCAGCACAAATCAGAAAATCAGAACTAGCAAATGCGACTAAAGCTTCCCATACAGTGATGACTGGGCCAAGGTTCATAAATAATATCACAATTCAAACAACCTTAGACTAATTAAATTGAGTGACTAAAATTCTTCATAACAACTTTTCTAGTTAAGCACTTGAAAAACCATTATCAGCATTTTTTGCAGCTTAAAAGATATACAAAGAAAAAGACAAACAATATTTAAAATTCATCAGCAACAAATTCCAAAACATAATGAAACACATGCAGAAATAAAAGTTGCATATCTAGGTGAAAATGACTGAAATTACTACACTATCCAAAATCAATTTCATCTGGTCAAAGACCAAATGTCAATCTCTCCAGGAGCATAATCTACAGTTACTCCAAAAGAATGATCGAATTCCCAAAGATGCCTAAAAATAAGAACCCGAGTAGCATTTTAACACCAGTCCTATACAAGGGGATAGGAAGGACTGAAAAACCCAAACATATCAGTTCTATCAAAACTCAGGCAAATAAAAAGATAAAGAAATTCTTAGTTTGTTTCAGGGTATTCCAGGCAAATAATGAATAAGCAGGGCAATAGGCACTCACCTGAATTTGCTGAATACCAGTGAGTTCCTTGCAGAAATCAGTCAAATGATGATGATATATAGGCTTCACATATGTTTGAAAAGAGCCTTCTAATTGCCCAGTTACACTATTTACCAGCACTGATGGGAACTCAATAATTTCTTGAGGATGAGGATTCTTCTCTCTATCACAAGTTGCCTCAAAGTCTATAACAACGAAATACTGGAACTCCTGAAACTGAACTTCAGGACGGAAGCATTGAGAATGCATCTTATAGGGCAGGTAGTGAAACCTGCTTTCCACAGGATACGAGTATTCCCTGCCCATCTGATAATAATGTCCCTCCTGTATAGCACGCCACTGGTTTTGCTGCACCTTTTGGAAGTCATAGTTCAAGGCTGTCCAGGTACTGAAGTCTTGCTGGTACATAGGCCTGTGGTAACCTTCACTGTAAGGAGAGTAAGTTCCAGTATATAGTGAATGGTCAAATTCAAGAACCCTATTGGAATTAACATTTATTTCATCCTTCAGACCAGGGCACCCTTCCACTCCATTTCCACTGACTTGTAACTTGTAATCATAAGGCCTGCTATGCAGAAAGATAAAGGATTCCTCATGGTTCCTTTGCATCTTTCCTGCAACGAAAATCAGAAATTTGAAACAAAGATTACATGAAGATTCTTGAAAGAAAAGATTACATGAAGAACAAACCCAAGAGGAAGTATTTTTTGATACTATAGCACACTCGTAGACCATTGGAATCATCACAGTCCATCATTTCATTGAAGGGGTGATTATCCGAATGGATTTACGGTTTTCCCGAAACCCAAAACCTCCTGGTTCGGGTGGAATCTGGTGCAACGATGCAAAATTCAAATATATACAAGGCTTAGCCGATTTAACAAAAGATGACCCAAGTACTCTGCTATCCAGAAATGAAAAGGCATTTTTTGGCATGCAAATTACAAAAGTTCCCGCAATAAAATAATCACACAGATCTTTTCAGTGGTTCCAGTCCAGTAAATGGAAGATTTTAAATTACAATACTCAAATTACAAGAACAAGCATTTAGAGTAGGGAAAGCTTTCTATGTTCCCCTTACAACATAGAAGTTCTATCCTCCCCCTTATCCAACCGTCCATTTTTTAATGGAGGCTAAGATTGCCCCAATCACAATGTCACGTCTCTACACTGTTTTATTTTTAATTTTTTTTTCTAGAAACTGTTTTGACACCAAATTTTGGATGTCCATTCCTCTATTAAACTCGCACTAACAAAAAATATAAAAAAATATTTTCAGTAAAATAAAATGACCAAGATACCCCTGAAAGTTTCAAAGGGTATTTTGGTGTTTATATTTTATCGAAAACTTATTGTTAATATTTTTTATAGGTGCGCCCCAATAAAAAGATGGCATGTACCAAATTTCATATTCAGAAAATTTGTATTAAAAAAACTAAAATGAAAATACTTTGAGACGTTGGATCTAAGATCAAACGGTGAGTGGCTCTCTTGATAAAAAATGGACAGCTGGATGGTAGGGGGAGGATAGAACTTCTATGTTGTAGGGGGAACATAGAAAGCTTTCCCTTTAGAGTATTGCCAATTAAAGTATTTAAAATAAAAATAAAACATTTAGAGCACAAATAACATTTGTTTCTTCCTATAATACAAACTATATGGGGGTTTGTATCCTGATGAAAATTTATAAATTAATCAAGAGCAGGCTGTTCCATAAATAGAGTTCCTAGGGACATCCAAGCAACCAACTACCCCAAATGTGGTCAATACATTGCCAGTCCAAGATGTAACCTCTATTTCAGGAGAACATTCCCCCTTGGACACTGGCCTCTGCACTCTGCCCGTAGAGTGGAAGCAAGAGCTTTTGGCTACACTAAAGATTGACTGATCATTCAATCCAGTCAAATTAGACATCAGCTAACAATGCTTGAGGCCTAACGATGAGATACTTGGTTTTAAAGAAAGAGAGATCCAAGGTTTAAACCTCCCACACACAAATTTAGCTAAACTACCCAAAAGACAATCGGGCCCTAGATCCAAGAAAAGACAACATAATCCTGGCAATGGGTTGTTGCTTGGTAGAGAAGTCTCCAACTAATTCAAGCTGCATAGTTTCTTAGGGCATCCTCCAAAATGATGTAAAAAACTCAGCTATACAATAACGACAATAATTAATATACAGTCATAGGAAATTTTGGCTAAGGGAATTCTCATAAACCCTGGACCTTAGGGCCCACACTAGCATGTTGAACCATAGGACACACCAAGTCCATACCCCATATCAGCAACAGGAATATCCCCCAAAATATTCCTCAAATATTCCCAACCATTTTAAGGAAAATCAAAACCAAAAATAAGGAAAAAGGCGAAAATAATATGGTCAAAGATCTCAAAATCACATCAGAAAGCTGCCAAACAGCATCCCTCGCCACATCGAATTTTGGGGGGGCCGGTAGGTCCCTTGATGCATATCGTGCTGTGCAGGGCACCAAGCCCAACGAGTATCATGCCGCACAACTCGGACAACCCAGATTTAATTAGAGACCCCAACCTCCTGATTTGGGGAATTTTCGTCTAGGCCACTTCTCATTGATTTCAGGGACCTTTGGCCAGACCAAACACTAACCAAGCCTCCAGTTTCAGTCCAATGAAGCCCCCAAACCCCCTGCAAAACCCAGGAAAATGTAGGAGATGAACATTCCTCCCACTGCAAAAGCCCTTGCAAAGGATTCCTAGGAATCTCTACCCGGAGTATGAGAAAATTTCCTGATCGGCAACCTTGAAGGAGAAAGGAGCAGAGACTCGTCCCTTCTGTCTAATCTGCATGTTGGGCCTGAGGGCCTGGCTTCCCAAGTATTTGTACTCACTCTCTTTGCTTTATTTCTCTATTTCCTCTTTATTCTGTTTTCCGACTTCAAAGGCCTATCAAAACCTCTTTTCGCGCATTCTTACTAATTCCCAAAACTTCTCTTTGGTTTTAAACAAATCTGAGATGGTCTCTATCGAAGCCAATTTCCCATTGATTGAAACTTGATGGGAGCCATCCCTATTGACTTTTCAAGATAACAAGTTTTTGCACAAATCAGGACAGACTAACTTTGGTTGGTCTGTTTCATCCCAGATTTTGCGTGTAAACAGTTTGCGCCCATTGTGGGGCTTACTTTGAGAATTTTGAAAATAAAATTTCAGAAAAAACATCTTGAAGCTCTTTTCAGAAAAGTTTGCAATAAAAAATTTGACAGAAAAATAAAAAATTTTGGTCCACAATTTATGCTCATTCGACTATGGAGTCTGGAGAATTTTTGAAATAGTTTATTTATTTCGAAAATTTTTCAAGTGATGTCTTCTACAAATATCCTTTTACGATTTCAACAATGTGGAAGGTTCCAGGATATCAAAATTTCTCAATATTTCAAACAATTCTGAGGACTTTAATTTGGTGGACTTTAATTTGGTGGCTTGCGATTTATCCTTTAGCTCTGTCCAAGTTTCAAAAGTTTTATGTTTCACACAATCCCGGGATGCGCAGCGTGTTATGCATTGCGGATAAACATTACTCAACTTGACATGCATTGTGCACTTTAAATGTCTTCTAGTTTTGATAAGTCACTTCACCGGATGTTGTTTATCATCTTTATAACTGGAACCTCCCATGATCCCCTACAAAAAGGGCCTCAAGGCCAGTCTTCCTCAATCCTCACCCTAGTATCCCTGATTTTGGTTCTTTTTTTCTGAGAGAAATTCACTATATTATATTCATAAGCATAGGGTTACAAGATGATGTGACCAAAGTCGTCACACAAAGACAGCCCGCAAAGGGCGAACAGAAGATAAACCTTCTGCTGAGAAAAGAAAAGTGCAAGAGTAAGGAAGATAGGCCTAAGACGGGGCATTGAGGAGAGCCCCTTCTTTGGCCAGGCTATCTGCCGCGGAATTAGCTTCCTGAAATGCATGCTGCCACGAGATCCTAAAGTTACTTGATAAAGCCATGGCCTCATCGAAAATGTTATCTAGGCGCCAAGACCTGATGAGTGGCTGGAAGCCCAACGAATAATGTTTTTGGCATCCCCTTCCACCACTATATTGTGGTTCTAGGAGGGATCAAGCTTTCGAAGACCTTCTAGGAGAACCAGCGCCTCTGCTAGAATGGAGTGCGCAACCCCAACGGGAAGAGAGTAGGACAGCAGGGTGCTGTCATCGAACGGAGTAGTCCCTCAATACCTGAGGGGCCCTGGGTTACTCAAAGAACACACATCAAAGTTAAGCTTCATTGTTCCCGCTTCAGGTGGTTTCCACCACGAGGCCCGCGAGGTTTAGAGGCTAGATAAGAGTAAAAGGTTGGACCAGTTGCTATGGAAGTCGGAGGAGGGCGAGAACTTGAAAAGAGAGTGATTAGATGCTCAGAAAGAAACCAAATTCCTGGTTTTCTATGCCAGCTGGTTGGCTGAAGGCCTCGCTCCCCGAAAGATCTTATTATTTCTCTCGATCCACAAACCCCAGATGGTGGCCGAGAGCGTGGCTTTCCACAGAAGCCTACCTGACTTGGGCCAAGGGATAGAGGGGGAAGTACTCAATAGGTAAGGGATATTGGAGGGGGTAACCCAAACCCAATCAAACAGATTCAAGGTAGACCTCCAAACTGCAAGAGAGAAATCACAATGGAGGAGAAGGTGAGAGTTGGTTTCCTTCTCCTCCAAACAAGGTTGCATCGGTTCCGGAGCTGAATCCCTCTTCTCTGGAGCTGGTCCATGGTCAGTAAATGTTCGTGCAAGGCTAACCAGCAGAAAACTTATATTCTAGGAGGGATGAACTTGGTTCTTGTCTCCCAAAATTTTCCTTCCCTCTTTTCTTTCCATGGCTTTCTGAAGAGCAATTCAGCTCTATTTGAGGGTCATGGTCAGGAACTTTCTGACCTTGTGACTGTTAAACTGGAATCTCAGGAGGTCCACCACTTTAATGTTGAAGAGATGGCAGAGAATCCCAATGACATCTCTGATGAGGACTTTGACCACTTAAAACCATTCTTCAGGTGACTGGGGGTGTAATGATTCTAATTGAAGCACAATGGATTTCACCATTGCTCAAACTATTGGCCTTACCAAGATTAAGGATCTCTTCATGAGTTAGGTCAGGGTTGAGGACCTTGGAGAACAAGTGTGCAACTTAGACTTTACGGACACACTGAAGAATGTGCAGTTGCACAATAAAGACGAAGAAATTTTCAAACTTCGAAAAGATCTCCATGCTGACCACTTAAGCGCCAAGAAATTTTCGAATGCTCACCAGCCTTAGGTTTTGCATAGGGTTTTGTTTTATTGCTTTTTATCAGTCCTGTTCTGCCCAGAAGTTCTTGTGCGGAGGAATAAGGCTTAGATGTAGTATACTCCACTGAAATGGTTTCCTTCTTCCCTTTTTCAATGTGGAGTTAGCGGATTTCTTCTCCCTTTTTTGTTTTTTAATATGTAATAATCTCCACTGAAGTGGAGTTTTAATGAATGAATAAATTTACCCTCTTGTTGACCTTTTGTGATCTCTTGTGAAATTTTATTTATCTGGTACAAGTGACTTCTAGATATCTTCTTTGGTTTGGCACAATGGTTCTTAGGTTCAACTTCCACATCCTAGGTTTAGCCATAGTGTGCAGTGCGACACGTGTAGGGCATTGCCCCAAATCAGAAGGTTGGAGCCCCGAATCAAAGTTAGGCTGTCCAAATCACACAGCATGAGATGCGTTGGGCTTGGTGCACTGCATGGTGCAATATGCGTCACAAAACCTATTGGCCACCAAAATTTGCTACATGGCCAAAGAAGCAGTTTGGCAGCTTCTCTGCTATTTCAAGATCAGATCTTTGACTAGATTATTTTCAGCGTTCTCTTTATTTTCAGTTTTGATTTTCCTAAAAATGGTTGTTGGGCATTTTGAGGAATATTTTGGGGATATTCCTAAGGCTGGACTCTGAGGGGGTGTGGACTTTAGTTTTGGTGTGTCCATAAGACATTATCCTAAAGTTGCTTGTTGATTGCTTTCAACCGTCTGGATGCGTTCCTTTGTTTATAGATTCACTCTCAAATCCCTAACTTCATGTAACGTACCTAATATGATCTCCCTTCAAAGTATTTACAGTTCTGATGTGAACCCAAATAAGAACACCTTACATTCATAACCCATTAATCTCTAGGAGACTTCCTTTGTAATTATGTCCTATACTTGTTTCTTAAGGGTCTCAGATGCATGGAAACAAATGGTATCAATTGATCACCCCATCACTAAAAATCCTCCAGACCTTTTTGACCATAGTCTTGGCAGTTGGTTTTACTTGGTACTAAAGATTAAGCGCCTCACATGCTATTTTCAAATTGCCAGCAGCATTGCATCAGGCATCTATTTCCTTGTGGGATGTCTTCAAAATTACCCTCCTAGGGGCAACACAGTTGACTGCCAAAATCTTATATTCTGAAAAGAGCATGATATTTTTCAAAAGTATCTGCCATAGATAATTTATGCTATCTTGACTTTATAGATCATAGAATTACCACAAATTTTATGGAAATTTGATTGAGGGCATATATCCCTATATAAGAAAAGGATAAAGACAAATCATGACTTGGGGGAATGGGGGAGAAGAAAACTTGAACAAGAGGAGGTCCTCCCACAAACTTAGCTTCTTGCACATGAGAATATGAAATCGTCTCCCTTTCCCTTCTCTTGAAAACCTCAATGATATAAGCATTCAAAGATGGAAAAAAGATAAAAAAATCCATGATATCAGCTAATTTCCAAGAGTAGTCAACACTCTACAGACTCATCTTATGATGTCAAGTCAATAGCTTCCACTATTGAGGGCCTGGGGAAAAAAGGGGGAAAACCTTCAAGTTTTTTTTAAGGGCCCACGCTTTAGAGCAGTACAACTACCAATAGTCCTTCAAAGTCTTGAGAGTCGTACCATGTTTACCTACAACGAATCCAACCATCCCAAAGTTGCCATCAAAACTGATTTATTTATGTTTCACAAAATTGATTGTAATTGCCAACTCATACTTCAGTACTGGGGCAAGATACTACACCCCACTACAACAACTACACAAATATTTTAGTCCTTATATAACTTTTAAACATTAGCATAGAGATATGCAAACTTATTGTAGATGAATTTCCACGAAAATTACACCGTGCAGAGAGAAAAGAATGGTAACTTCATATGCCATTCCCTTTGCCAAACAGAATAGACCCATGAAGTTCCATGTAACAATTCGTTTGCGGTTATTCCGCAAAAGGCATTCTTAAAGACCACAAAACTACTTAATGTATACTAGATTAGCCTCCAATGGAAAAAAATCAATCTTGGGGAACAGTCACAAGTGCTCCCTATGTGTTTCAAACAAGACCCTCTTTAAAAAATAATAATAATAAATAAGTAGTAACATTGATCAATAAATCAAGCATTCTGAATTACCCCCAATGTAAAAAAACAAAACAAACTGAAAACCCAAACTTTTAGAGAGAGAGAGAGAGAGAGGAAATTAGTCAACAAGTTCAGATCTTCTTCATGTTTCTTTTCATTGAATCAGGCTCTAGTAATGGCGAATAATGCAGATCCCCCAGAGACTAGAAAAGGGCTAAACATAAAAATTAATAAATCAACCATGATTAAAAACCCACTACACCAAATTCAAATCCATAGCCATCAGATTATCCATACCCATTGGATCAGATCAAACCAACCAGTTGCATGATACAAAAAACTAACCAGTTTTATCCATAAGTTAACCATGAAAAGACACCAAACCAAATACTGCAACATGCGATCTCAATCAAAGAAATCACCGCAAAAAAAGGGGGGAGAAAGAAAAAACCCCACCTCTAAATTATGGTTCAATCATAGCCTTGGGGGTAATTATGATCCTCGAAGAAAAACCCAAGATGCAATTCTGCTTTCTCCCACCTGCTCACAAAAGCACCAATCACATACAAAACGATCATAGCATGTTAGAGAGACAGAGAGAGAGAGGAGAGAGAAAGTACAGAAATAGGGAAATCTAGAGAGAGATATACAGAGAACTTTAGAGAGAGATAGACACAGATTAAGAGAGAGAGAGTTAGAGAGAGATTACATGACGGAGCGAAGCAGGGGTAGAGAGAGAAAGTGAGGGGGGGTGAAATAGGAATACGTGCGCTTTGATGATTCCAAATTTTTGCATCAGAAGATTGCGGGGAATTGAAAGCAGGCAAAGAGAAAGTGGGGCCCACAGGAACTTATTGTTTTCCGTTTATTATCGTTCACGCCTTTTCATTCGGGAATTTATCGGATAATAATAGGAATGCAAAACGTTTTTTTTGTTTTAATGTCTAAATATCTTCAAATTTATCATCTCAATATCGATATATATGGGCATGAAAAAAAATGGTTCATCTTTATATCAATATATATGGACATGAGAAAAAATAGATTTCAAGTTTTAGAATATAATGCATGTTGTAATGCGTTTTGAACGGACAATTTGTCACGTTTTTTCGTGTTTTGATATATTTGTTTGACCTACACTATTTTTTACGTTTGAAAGTTTATAATTAAATATAAAAATATATTTTAAGACTAATACAAAAATTTTCAATATTAAAATCATATTTCTCAACACTATTTGAAAGGGTACTTTACTTTACTTTAATTGTTTAGAACCTTGGCTATATACAGACCAATAAAACTTTAACAATGTATTAAACCAAAAAGATTTTGTGATCCTACATGGGCATATACTGTTTATTTTCTCTCTTGTTGGAAAGTAATCTAGTATTAATTGTAGGATCTCAAATTTTGGCGTCATGAATCAACCTCAAAACCAATATTTCCAAATGACACTCTTTATGCAATTGAAAGAAAATGTCTCAAGATTGAATCGAGACCATCCAATTTTTTGATGCAAGATCAAGTGTTCCAAAAATCAAAACTTAAATTTTTGTAGTATAAAAGTAATCATATAGTGGTCCTAAATAGTTCCTAGGATTTTACGTTAAATTAAAAATAACAAAATATAAAAAACCCTATGAGGTAGGTTTCTGCTTGAGGGAGTAGAAGGATAGTATTATCCCGCAGGAGTGTAGTACACGTGCTCATAATTAATCATTAAAGGGTGCTATTTTACAAAATAAATGAGTTCATCCAATCAACTTTTCTAAACATGTGAAAGAAATGCAAAAAAGGGATGATGTGGATCGTTTAAATATAGACACGGTTTCTATGAGTCCGCCAACTCACATATTTAAATGAGCCCTCTTATCAAAATTTATTGGAAAATTGTTTCATGTGGGGTGGCCCACATTTCTACAATATGCAGTTCCAAGATATAAAGCATCCATCTTAAAGATGGATGCAAATAGGTAGTCCATCTAAAATAATTGAAGCTAACAGTCTAGATGTTTTCTTAATAAACATATTATTTTTAATTTTAAAAATTTATTTATTTTTTCATATTCATGATCTCCATGTTATAGATTGCATGTCTTTAAAAATTAAGTCCAAAAATCCATCTCAAAAATAGATTTTTAAGAGGTGACTCATTTCTACACGGACTCATAGAAATTGTGTCCAAATCTATTTTAAAGAAGGATTTTGTATTCAAAATTTTAAGAAATGAGAATCTCAACACGATAAGTATGAACTTGAAAAAATATTTTTTAAAATAAAAAATTATCATCATTTTGATATCATCGATTTTAAATTTTTGTGGGGCAGCTATTTTCATGTGTGCTAACAAATTGGTAAGAGATAAGCCTTAAAATACATGGTTGGAAGTAATAAAAAAAAATATGGGGATCTATAGTTTCATTGAAAAGTATGATCTATAATAAAGCAAAATAGTGGACCAAAATTAATGTAGCCGGTCCCAAATAATTGAAAAAAGACTATGACGATGTTGACCATAATGAACCGTTTTCATGCATAAGGAGATACTATTGTGGGAGTGATTCCGTGACATACATACTACTCTTCATCTAAAAATGCCATTTCGAATTGTTGCTTTTGCAACGTTTTTAAGCTAATAACTGCCTTGCATAAGGGATGGAGTTGTAAATAGGCCGATTTGGGGTTCGGGTTTGGTTAACCCCAACTAGAGCTCTAGGGGTGGTAATGTACCTAGGACCCAACAAATGGACCCGACCTGTGTCTTGGTATGGGTCCAAAAATTGGATCCGGCGGGTTGGGTCTGGATCCATGTGGAAGCAGGACCTGAAATATGTTTATTAGTTTAATAATATTTTAATAATATTTAATTATGAAAAAAAAAAGCTAACAATAGCTGGACAGCTATAATAAATAGTAATATAAGTGCAATATCAGCCGTCAGATTTTCATCATGTGGTCCAAAATGCAAATCAATATTTTAATTTTAATTTTTTTTATAAATTTAATTAAGATAAAATTTTGGGTGTATATACAAAACACTATTTCACACTATATAAAAATACAAAAAAAATATTTTCAATAATTTAAAATAACCAAATTACCCTCACCATTTTCAAGGGTATTTTGATCATTTTATATTTTAAGAAATATTTTTTTATATATTTTTTAATTGTATGCCCTATTTTTTAATACACACATATAAAATTTTATTATGATTTGATTTCTAAAAAAATTATTAAAATTTATATAGTGATATGCATTCTGAACCATATGATGAAGATCTAACGGCTCTCATTCCACCCATATTACTATTCATGATAGTTGTCAAGCTATTATAAGGTTTACTCCTGTTATTTAAGTAATATTTAAATAAATATAATTATATATATTTAGTTATAATAGTAAAATAATATATATATTATTAGTATTTTTATTTTATTTTATTTATTTATTTATTTATTTTGCGTCAGGTCAAATTTGGGTATGATGACTTCAGGTCCGGGTCCGGCAACCGGTCCATAATATTTTTCAGGTCTAGGTTTGGGTTTGGGTGGACCTGGACCCGACCCATTGCCACCCCTAACGAGCTCGAGTATAGTCGGTAATTTTGGGCTTGTGATGAGCATGGTGTTTCCTTACTCCCTTGGGCCTAATCTAGGTGCGTTTTTTGAGATCTCAAATTTTCGTGATGTAGCCTCTTCAACCTAACAACTAGCCTCAAAGTTTTTTAAATTGTACTATGTATATGCCTAAAAATAGGGAAAAAATTTTGTATAATAAGGTTGACACTTTAAAATGTAGAATTAAGATGCAGCTTCTAAAATCCATTCACAATAGTTGTTTTGATGTTAGAAAAACATCTAATAGATTATTTGGACATCGATATGTACACAACAAAAGAGATTTTGAGTCCTAAAAAGGGTACATCATGTAATATATTATTTGAACCGTTCATTTTAAGATTTCACATGTTTATAAGTCCGCATGATTTTAATATTTTTATAATTTAAAATTTTATAATTAGAGATAAAAATAAGTTCTTGCACCTTCAAAAGAATTTTCGGCACCAAAATTGCATCTCAAGACAAAGTTTAGAAGTGCACCTAACTTTGATTGTTTAAGATTGCAAGCTTACACTGAAAATGTGTCATAAAGGGCACCTAGAAAGCTCCAAGGGGGGAGTGAAGAGGGTGAGATTTTAGAGAGAGAAGAGAAGGGAATGTAGAGATGGAGGGTGTTGAGGATTGGGGTTCGTTGTCAAGAGTAGTGATTGATACATGCGCTGAGGCTTATTTGGTGGCTAAAACCAAATTCATTATTGTTGGATCCTTTTCTCCTCTTTCTAAGAGACATTTTTGGTTTGAGTGACTGGGGGGCAGGACTTGGGGTTTGTCGTATTCTCCTAATGTCAAAACCTTTTGGTAGTAATAAGGTGGGGTTTTTTCTTCAATTTGCTTATGCTATTCGAAATAGGTTTTATTGTATTAGAGGTAAGCTCCTTTCTCTTGATCTCTGAAGCCCCTCTGTTCATGCTTATTTTGTTTCTAAAGTTTGCTTCCTTTCTCTTGATCTCTGAAACCCCTCTGTTCATGCTTATTTTGTTTTTAAAGTTGTGTGTGGGTGAGGTTCTAGGGTATTCCTTTTAGTGTTTGAGAGGTTGGCTAATGAATGTGGGATTATTGTGACATTGATTGGCGAAGATTACAGGTTTGTTAGAATTAAACTTTGGAAGCTCTCAAGTGTTGTTATTCCCAATAAGGTACAATTGGATGTTGATGATAAAATCTTATCATTGGTGTCACTGTTGAAGAGGATCTTCTAACTTTTCTTGTGAGACTGGATCCCCTTGGCTGATCAAAAGTACAATGGTTATGGTCTTTTTGATGTTTGGAAAAGTCAGCTTAGGGCTAATCAACACCGAAGGAACCGCCGTTAGAATTCAAATTCAAAATTTTAAAAAAAGTGGGTGCCGGTGGGTTGATTCCCTGGATTGATGGATTGCCAGGTCAAAGGCCAAGATCTTCCTTCGTCTTCAATGAGCTCTGCAAGTCCACCTTGCTGTGACTTTTCTAAGGAGTGCACATAGGTTAGGTAGTACCTTAGGTTTACCATCTTCTTGCTCAGCAGAAAATTGCATGCACATTCGGAAGCAGAGAGACGTTAGCGGCAGTCATGGTGGCAGGACATGAGAGTACTATCCCTGGTTTCGGTGACGCCTTTAGAGAGAGATAATCCTTTCATCTCCAAATCTCCCCTGCCCTCCTCTTCTTCTTCGATTTAGGGCTCTTTCTTGGTGTTTGTTGCTAAGTTCATTTCAGTGATCTGTAACCATTCTAAGGCATCATCTTCACTCGTTTTATCATGTGCCCTCTTGTTGAACACCATGAGATTGCTCCCTTGCAGAAAGGTAGTGAAGAGAGTGAGCAGGTTGCCTTCATTTGATTCGCTTGAGGTTGATCCTTTGGCAATTATTTGTTGTGGAGTCGGATGAGGAGCTTCAAGAGATGGTGCTAGCCGATGCTATGGGAGATGAGGGATTGCTTGATATGGATTTTGATCCTTTGCTTGCTATGGTGGAGGCGGATCTTGTCGCCCCGCTGGCTGCAGTTCATCAGTTACCTGAGCTTGTATTAGAGGTAAGCTCCTTTCTCTTGATCTCTGAAGCCCCTCTGTTCATGCCTATTTTGTTTCTAAAGTTTGCTTCCTTTCTCTTGATCTCTGAAGCCCCTCTGTCATGCTTATTTTGTTTTTAAAGTTTGTGTGTGGGTGAGGTTCTAGGGTATTCCTTTTAGTGTTTGAGAGGTTGGCTAATGAAT